GCGCAGCGGTGGAGCCGCGCGAGGAGCTGATGAGTCGAGAGGCGCGGGACGAGCAGAGGGAGCGGGCCGAGCGCGACGTGGTCGGGGACATCGAGCGCGCGGTGCGGCGGCAGCGGCGCAAGAGCGTCCAGGCCGAGCAGCTGCGCGAGCAGCGTGAGCGCGAGGCGGCGGCCGAGGCCGAGCGACAGCGCGAAGCCCAGGCCGAGGTGCGCGAGCAGGCCGTGAAGCTCGAGCGGCTGCTCACCAAGAAGCGGCGTCAGAGCATGGTCGCCCTGCGCGACAAACAGAACCGAGCCGCCATCGCATCGGCGGTGCGGCGTCGACATATGAGTCTCGGCGGCGCCGGCTTCGGTGGATCGACAGCCGATGTAGACGAAGCGGAGGAGGAGGAAGAAGAGGAAGACTTGAATCGTACGGTGGACGAGCTGAAGGACCTGGTGGAGCGGCAGAGGCGCGAGCTGGAGGCGAAGAAGCAAAAGCGAGCGGAGGAGGAGCGGCGGAGGGAGGAAGAGCGGCGGATGCGCGAGGCGGAGGAGCGTCAACGGATCGAACAGGTGCACCGCTACTGGCACGCCCTGCACCAACGCGGCTGAATCGTAGCACAAAACTTTGTTGTTTGCAGACCTACAAGAGAACAACAGCCTCGGTGGCGACTTGCGACGGATCCGCTGCGGTCTGGCTCCTGGCGTCCTCGTAGTACTGCTGCACCACGTCCTGTGCGCCCTGTGGCGTGAGCGAACCACACACGACACACATGACACACACGACACACGACACACACGACACACATACGAGGTGCGCGGCCAGAGCAGGGTAGATACCCAGTTGACCACGTTCCACCAGGCCTGGATGTAATCGGGCCGGCGGTTGTGGCGCAGCAGGTAGTAGGCGTGCTCCCACACGTCCAGGCACAGCACCGGCTGCTGTCCCGCCATCAGCGGCGAGTCCTGCCCACCCACCATTCCCCCCCCCCACACAATGTGATCATACGTCCGAGAGTGATCCACCACCATTCAATTCGAGCTTCGTACCTGGTTGGGAGTCGCCACGATCTTGAGGTCGCCGCTGGCGGGCTCGACCACGAGCCACGCCCAACCGCTCCCAAACACCGAGGCCGCAGCCGCGCTGAACTGCTTCTTGAACTCCTCCTGCAGGGTCCATGCGTGCGTGTGCGCGGTGCGCGAAGCGCTTCAGAGTCAGAGCGCGGTGGTGAGGAGCGAAAGGGCGTTGAGGTACGAGCGAGCCAAACTGGTGGCTGATGGCAAAGGCCAGGTCGCCTTGCGGTGAGTTGGACCCGCCCGGGGTCATCACATGCCAAAACATGTTGTGGTTCACATAGCCTCCCCCGTGATTGCGCACCGCCTGCACCGCATCGCACGCCCACAGAGCGTGGTAAGCGGCTTTTTTCCACACACACACACACACACACCACACACACCACACACACCACACACACCACACACACCACACACACCACACACACGACGCGTTGTTCACCGCACGAGACGGAGATGGTGGTGGTACGGTGGCGAGGTGGTCGGAGGGGAAGGCGAGGGAGCGGAAGGAACGGAGGATGGACTCAGCCGTCGTGTTGGGACCCACCACGAGAACCGCCTCGGCCTCGAGCCGGTCGAGGGCCTCGTTGAACTTGTCCGTGTAGGCCTGGTGGTGCTTGTCCTGCTCACCGCCGCGGGCGCCCCGTCACCGTAAGGCCACCACACTGAAGGGAAAAGAGAGGGGGGGGGTTGAATACGGACATGGTGCAGCTGCATGGTGAGGGTGTCGATGTGGGGTTCGAGGGCATCGTAGGCGTAGGGCAGTGGTGCCAAAGTGAATGCCGCTTCTTTGGCAGCAGCGCCAGCCACCAGCACCACCATCACCGCCGCCACGCACAACCATCCTCTGCTCATCTTTGTTGTATTTAAATAAATGATTGGCCCTTGTTTCGCTTTCTTTTTGATTTGTTGTGTTTGCTTCGGGTCGTGGCCATAGCCTAGTGTCGAGGACGCTTGTCGATGGTCTTGCCCTTCTTCTTTCTGGATTGCGTGGCTGGCTCCTCGTCGTCGGTGTCGACCTCCTCGGCCAGCTCCTCGAACGACTTCTCGATCACGGTCTGGGTGACGTCGGTGAGGCCGAGCAGGTTGAGGAAGCGCACCACCTTGCGGTCGAGCCACGCCTTGTTGGGCATCGCCGCCAGCCAGTCCCTCGGCAGGGCCGAGTAACCGTAGCGCGCTCCCCACAACGCGCCGCACACTGCGCCATTTCTGTGTGCCTCGCTCGTGTCAATCGCACGACACACACGACCACGACACACGCACACACTCACCACCGCACACGCACAATGACGTACGTATCGGCATCACCGCCCTCGCGGACGAGCAGATTGATCATGTGCTTGAAGTCGTTCGACGCGCACAGGCCCCAAAAGCCGGAGCCGACGCACTTGAAGGTGTAGCCGATCTTCGACGCGTCGTCCAGCTCGAGGCTGTGCAGGCTCGCCACCGAGGCGTCCCTCTTCATGTGCTGCTTGAACTCTTCCGCGTACTGCGGCTCCAGTACCTTGAGCCCGTGCGCCACGGCCTTGTCGATGACCTGCTGGAGGCCCTCATCGGACTCGACGTCGTGAGCGCCCTGCAGCATCAGGGCGATGGCGGTGGTGGCCGCCACGCTGCTGGCCAGGCACCGCGAGTCGAAGTGGGTCACCTTGGCGATGCGCACGGTGTTGGCGACGACCCGGTCCAGGTCGTCGTGGTCGAGCACGCCCAGGATCGACGTGCGCATGACCGCCCCGTTGGGCGCGGCGTTGCGGTTGAGCCTGACCCACGCGGCCTCGGCAGCGGCGTGCGGGTTTTGCAGAAACTCGGGGTGGTGCACCACCTGCGCTGTGGTGGCGCCTAGACCCATGCCCGAAACGTCGCCCAGCTCAGGGAAGCCACGGTTGATCCACCGCTGGCGCCATACCAATCGGAGTCAGCGCACTCGTCGTGTCGTGTCGTGTCGTGTCGTGTCGTGTCGTGTCGTGTCGTGTCGTGTCGTGTCGTGTCGTGTCGTGGTACCAGGAGTTTGGCAGCGTAGCGGCGTTCGTCCAAGGAGCCGTTGAGCTCGAGAATCGTCTCCATGATGAGGATCATCTGGTCGCTGTCATCAGTCCTGTCATATGGGCGCGCGGGTCCAAGATGAGTACTGACGCTGAGAAGAAGAGGGTAGTTGGTAGTGGTCCTACCAGTCACCGCGCTGCCAGCGCCTGTTGTGCGCATTGAGCTGGTAGTCGGGGAAAGGCACGGCCTCGTTGCCATACACCCGCTGGATCTGCTTCTTGTTCATGAACTCGGTGGCTACCGCGAGCAGGAATCCGTTAATGCGTGCGCACTCATGATTCCCACGTGGGAAGGGGTGGAGTGAGTGATGTTCACGTACCCAGGCCAACGGCATCGCCCAGACAGTTGCCATAGATGCAGCCAAGGATGCGATCCATCTTCTTGTTTTCCAGCACCGACTTGTCCAGCTCGGCAATCCACCACGCATCGTGCGCCTCCGAGGTCGTCGCTGATGACGACGACGAAGATGACGACGAGGAGGTTGAATCCTCGCTTGGGATCATCACAAGCTGGACTGTGATTGTGAGATCACATATGGCGTCAGTGTGTGGTGCACCGCACAAGTGAACACGACGTACTTCCTTCGAGGGCAGCATGGCCGATGACCTTGTGCTCCTCAAAAGGGGCGGTGCCGAACTTGGCCTGGTGCAGGCCTGAAAACAAGGGCCACAGCTCCTGCTCGATGCGCACCAAATGCCAGAAGCCGAGGTGAGTGGCACCGCGATCGAGTGGTTAATACACCACCAGGGGAGCAATGTACGTACTGGGGCGGTGATGTAGCTCTCGCACTCGTAGCACCAGAACGACAGATCCGAGAAACTGCAGCATTGGATTGAGGGCACACGCTCGCTGCTGCTGCTGCTGCTGCTGCTTCAAGTTGTGCGGTACCTGCAGTTGATGGCGTGGTGCGACTGGTCATGGTGAGCCGAGGCGTGTCCGTTGACGTAGCGGCTGCAGAAGACGCCGTAGCAGCCCAGGCACAGCCAATTCTCCCCCGCGTGCCCGCAGTCCGCACAGCCACGCTGCAGCAGGGCCGCTGCGATAGCCGCCAGTGCTGGTTCAATACAAGATCGCTGTGTGGCAAGGGAGGAGAGGTGGTGGTGGCGCACCATCCACCACGAAGTCGGGCGGCAGGGCGTGGACATGAGTCTTGACGTGCGGACAGTCCCTCTTGGGTTCTCTGAACGATGATGCAGTTGCGCATTTGAATATAAAGTATAAAACTAACAAGTCGATTTGGGACAGCAAGGATGGGACATACACTGAAAATCCAGCAAGCTCCTCGTCTTCCATCTTGAATTGCGATCAACTTGTTTGCTTGCGATCAACTTGTTTGTCAGTGCGTTTTCCATTTTTCGCTGATTGAATTTGATGTCAATTTTCAGTTCCTACTATTCTTTTCTACAATATTGGTAATGGCCAACACGCGGATGGCTTTCGCCAACGCACTGTGGTGTCGCTACTGTACGCACATAAATGATCAGAAAAAGTGGGGTCGTCGGCATTCATTGGTGCCCAGGAAGCTGTGCGTGTGGGCACCCGTGCAGCAGCGGCTTCTTCCTCCCGTTTGCGGCGAACGAGCCACACTGGCGCGCGAGGCTGAATGTAGCGGTAGGCGCCCTCGTGCGAGGTGTCCAGCTGGTTGCGTTTGCCCTTCGACCAATGCCTCCTCCATCAGTTCCCACAATTGTGGGAAGCCGAAGGTGGCTGGGGCGTGAAGGATTCCTTGCTCGGCCAATGCAAAACCACCCAAGAAAAAGTTTGGCCCAAAAAAGAAAGTGCCACTTCAGCTTTTTCTGTGGATTTGCGCCAGCTGAGCAACATTGGAAAAATGAAAAAAAAAAAAAAAGTAGGCAATATGACAGTTGGGTCTGCCCACCACCTACAACACAGGCACAAGTTCTCCAAGACCCTGCAGGGTGGGTGAGTTGAGGGTGGTGGCCTTTGTTCCTTCTTCACCCATGGCACAGGGGACAGATCAGGATGATCCACCTGGCCAAGGGCCTGGTGGGGTGAGGGTAGGTGTGCCAGCTGTTTGTTGAACCCACCACAACAAAGACCAAACCAAAAAGATGGTATTGAGGTTCCCAAAAATCAAGCCATGTAAATTGAAAAGGACAGGCACTCCAGCCCAGAACACAGAGACAGAGAAGCAAGAAAATGAGACTAAGACCCAGAAAGAAAGGACACAGGACCAAGAGGTGAGACTGGTGATCAAAATAGGTTGAGACTTGAACCCAAAATGAGTACCAGCAGCAGCAGCATGCTGGTGGTGGAAGAGCCACAAGGAAGTGGCATGGACCCACACTCCCCACAGACCAAGCAGAGGAGAGGGCACAAACCAGTGCTGGGTGGAGATGAACTTGTGGCCATCCTCAACTGGCTTGAGTTCAACCCCACACTGACACGAAGCAGATTGTGGTGTGCATCAAGAGTGAGCTCAACAAGAAGGTCAGCAAGTCAACCATCAAGCACACTCATGTCTCCTACAAGGAGATGGCCAAGATCCCAGCAAAGTGTAACATGGAGGATGTTATCAGGGCAAGGCAAGAGTACATGAACCAGTGTGTCCATGATTTTGTCAGGTGGCCACTGGTCTTTGTTGACAAGTGCCCATTCAACCTGCACATCATGTCTGGCCAGGTGAGCTGTAAGAGGTGAGCCAGCCAGGCTCACTGCCCTACCCAAGCAAACGAATCTCACATACATCCACACCATGGCCTGCACTGGTATCATCTACCACAAGTTCATCACATCTCAAGGCAAAGCCAAGTGCAGTGTTAATGCCAATGATTTCCAGCTCTTCCTACTGGACCTTGCACCACATTTCCCCAAGTCAGCAGTGGTGCTGATGGACAGGTTACCGCTTCCAACGCCGCAGACTGGTTCATGCACATGGTGCACATGGTGTTCTTCCACCAATGCTCTGAGGGTCTTGAATTCACCAGCAAGCCCCTCATACCAACACTCTTCAAGGAGGCAACTTCAGCACAGCAAGGGCAGTGGACAACAGCCACTGGCACCACTGGTGCTCTTGCCCTTACCAGCAAGGGTGGCGTACCAGTGACAAGGGCAACAAGTGGAAACCAGGGATGAGGGCTGGCAGCCATGAGAGTGAGCAGCAATGCAGGCAGGCAGCAACCAGGGTGGGTGGCAATGAGGGTGGGGGGCTGGAGTGTGCTGTTACTTGCTCCATGCCTCATACAGAGGCAGAGAGACAAATCAATACATTACCACAAGAGTCAACAAGCTGAGACTCTTTGTGCTGCTTGGGTCTCTTGCATTTTGGTCGACTGGCGCCCACAGAGCTGTGACTTGCCCCCTAAATTCTCTCTTTATCTCAAAGCCCAAATTCAGGAAAAAGAGACCCAAACTGCAAAAACTGTAGGACTTTTTGTTTTTGGTCTCAAATTCCAGGAACCTCAATACTTCCCCCTTTGTGCCAACCTTTGATGGGGAACTGTCACAGCGCCCCCCCCTTGCTGGGGGTGTTGTGGGTGGTCATGGTGAATAGATCACTGCAGGCGCTACACTCTTCTTCAAACTGGCATCCCAGTCTCACAAGGCAAGCTGAGACCCAATGCAGACCATATTTCCACCACAACCTCCTCACACTCACCACTGACTGAAACAACCCAAACCCACACCCTCTTCAAGGCTTCAGGCTTGTTATACATTCATTATTGTCACAATGGAGCTCCGACTGTCGGTTAGAGCCCGAGCAGGCCACGCAGCTTGCTTTTGCTCTTGACCGAGTGCACGAGCTCCTTGCCGCTCTTGGCGCCGTGGGCCTTGAGGAAGAGAACCACCTCGTTCTTGCCGGGGCAGTACTTCTTCGACTTGCGCGCCAGCAGGTCCAGGCACGTCTCGTCGAGGTTGTTGATCATGTTGATGTCGGCGCCGTTCTCGAGCAAGAACTGAATCGCGTTCATGACCTTCACCGGATTCGGATCCTGCGAGGCGGTCGCCGATCCGCCGGAAGGAGACGACGACGATGAAGAAGAAGAGGACGACGATGAAGAAGGAGCCGCGGGCGGGGACGAGCCGAGCGGCAACGAGTGGCCGAGCGCGGCGCGGATCTTGGTGGGCGAGCGCGGCGGCTGGCCGGTGCCCATCGGCGCCGAGGCCGCGAGGAAAGTGGGCATGGACGGGAGCGCGATGACGAGGTGGTGGAAGGCCGAGTTGCCCTCGCAGTCGATGGCGTCGACCAGGGCCTGGTGCTTGACCAGCACCTGGATGTTCTCCACCGAACAGAACCGGGCGGCCTTGAGTAGCGGCGTCCGGCCCTTCTTGTCCCGCTTCTCGCGGTTGAGCCCCATCTCGAGCAGCATCGACAGGATCCCGGCCAGATTGTCATTCTTGGCCGCGTGGTGGAGCGGACTGAGCGCGGGCAGGTACGCCGCCACATGGCTTTCGATCTCCTTGAAGTTGACCTGCGCGTTTGCACCACCGGAAGACCATCTGCTTAGTGCTATTGCCCTTCGCACGGCACTGGTGGTCTGCAGTGACGGGGAACTGCGAGATTGGGGGAGGGGGGAGGGGGCAGTACTCGGTAGGCCCTGAAGATCTTGAAGATGTTCCTGATGTTGGGCACCTGGTCGAGCTCCTCGGGCTGGTGCAGGATGGTGGTGAGCTTGGGCTTGTCCCGTGGGCTCACCACCTTGGCAGCCTCGGCTGCTGCTCCATCCATCGCTTCCCTGCAATCATCATCGTCGCCATCATCGAGCAATCCCTCGTCAGCCGCTGCACGCGCACAGGCTACCCCCCCCCAGGGGGGATTTGGGGTGTGTGGGGCGTACCGCAGGTAGGCGAGGTCGACCCGGAACATGTTGGCGCCCTTGGGCTGCTTCCTGGGCTCGGGCTTGCAGAAGAGCTTGGAGATCTCCGTGAGCGGGTGCGTCGACGAGGCGGCCTTGGCGAGGAAGTACTCCACCGCTCTCTCCCTCCCGTTGTACACCGCCACCTGCGCAAGTGCATCGCGCCATCGAGCCATCGAATTGAGCACTTACCGCGCGGCCCGATTCACGAAAAGAAAGACAGAAAGGGGTGTTCGTACCTCGAATGGCGTGAGGGTGAGGACGAGGCCTCGCGTCTTGTGCAGCAGCGGATTCGACACGGCGTAGGGCGGACACGAGAAGATGCCGTGCATGTCAGCGCCCTTCTCCAGCAGGTACTCACACAGACTTGGGTTGCCTGGTGCCGTCGATACGCCGAAGAGTGTGAGAGTGAGTGACGCTCCTGCCGAGCGGTGATCGTAAGCGATCACTAGGAGAATGGGTGCGCACCTTGCTGGGCAGCGATATGCAGGGGGCTGGGCGCGTAGTGGACGTCGCTGTTGTCGTTGATGTCGGCACCATGCGCCAGGAGAAGATCAATGATCCCAAAGTCGACAAACTTGGGAATCGTTCTGTTGCGCAGGCGCTCCGTTTGCCTGTACCAGCAGCAGACACCATGATGAAGGGGTCAGCTGACTGTTCTATCGCTACCACAAACGATCGGTTGGTTGGGTTGGTTGGTTGGGCCACCACACCTGAAATTGGCACGCGTAGACACGGCGATCTTGAGCAGGTAGGGCTCGGCTTGGGGCAGGTGAGGGAAGAGGTCGAGAAGATGGGCCACGATGTCCCGGTTTCGGTAGTAGATGGCGCGCTTCATGTGGAGAGGCTTGATGTCGGCACCGTAGCTGATCAGCAGCTTCAAAATCTCCAGCTGTCCTCCCACAATCGCTCCTCTGTAGTCACATATGTCCAACAACAACAAATTAATTGCATGAGAATAAATCACAAAACGTTTGGATTGTGAACAAACCTGACGGCCCGTTCGTCGGGCTGGTAGCCGTGCGAGAGGAGAATCTCGATGAGTTTCGTGTGACCCCACTTTGACGCTGTTCGGAAGGCGTCCCAGCGCGCGACCTGCATCTGGTGCTCCATATGCTACGCACGCCCGATGGCCGATGTGAGAGCCCCGAAGCCAACGATCGTGGGGAGAGGGGAAAGAAGGGAGGAGACCTTGAACGCGGGAGAGTGCGCGATGCGGCGGTCGGTCTGGAAGTCGAGCCTCACGTGCAGGAGGAACTCGGCCGTCTCGGGCTGCCCCTGCTGGCACGCCGCGTGCAGCAGCTGATGGAAGATCGGCACCATCAGCTTGCCCACCGTTTTACTGCAAAAATAAAATAAATTAAATAAAAATACAATAATAATTAGTGGTAAGTACTATTCTGCCTCATCAATCTACTTACAGTGTTGCGGGTGGGTGGGGTTGGGTGAAACGCACTCGTCCTTGAGTTTCATGTAGAGTCGTTCGAGGAACTTGCGGTGACCAAAGCTCGCAGCGGTCATCATGATCCACGCCTGCCCCAAAATCGTGTGGTGAGCCCGTTGCGACAGAAGTGCAGCCGCGTGCGCGATTTGTGCAGTAAAGTGAAGAGAAGAGAAGTGAAAAGATAGCAGGCAGGTACCTGGACGCTGCGGGAGATGCTGCCCCAGAAAGCCCAGAAGTCGGTCTCCTTGCGCTTGGCCTTCTCCTTCTCCTTCTCGAGCTTGGCTTGCGCCTTCCTCTCTTTCTTCTCGGCTTCCTCGGCCTTCTTCTGCCGCTCGAGGTGGTCTTCGTAATCGATCGTGTGGCTCCGCTGCCGATGGACGCCCTGGGCGGGCGAGGCGCTGACCCGGCCGAGCGCGCTTCGCTTCCTGAGGTCGTCCTGCTGGGCCGCCGCCCGGTGCAACTCCCGCGCCTCCTGGGCGGCCGGCTCGATGTCGTCCGTCGTGCGGCTCCGCTGTCGCTTAAGCTTGCCGTAGACGTCGACGATCTTGTCGGACGACTTCTTTTCCTGGGCCTTGCGGGTGTCGGACAGGCTCCGCGCTCGCTTCTCCTTCTTCTCCTTCTCTTTCTTTTCCTTCTTCTCTTTCTTCTCCTTTTTGCTGTCCTTCTTCTTTTCCTTCTCCTCGAGGGCCTTGAACTGCCGCATGCGCATGTTCTCGCCCGCAACAACGCGCGGGGACACGGTCGTGGGCGTCGGCGGCGAATACGGGCCGTAGGGCATCGGGGGCAGCGCTACCGGTGGCGACGCCGCGGTCCGCGTGACCATAATCGGCGGCTTCGAGTCCACGTGCTTCTTCATCGCGTCGTGCTTTTTGGTCTCTGTGTGTGTCGACACGCCTTCAGTACACTCACCACTGTGTGTGGCTGAACGACCACCTAAGGCGCACGCGCTCACACACCACACACACCGCACGAACACAGACGATTCAGACGTGGTACCTTTCAGCTGGGCGGCGTGGGCGATCTTCTTGATGTAGCGCCCGAAAGCCCAGTAGCCCTCCACCCATCGAGCGCCGGACGCGGCGCCCTGCTTCTCCTGGATGCCCAGCACCTGGAGGTCTTCGTCGAGGGTCTTGATCTCATCCTTGATCTCCCTCGCCATGTCCTTGACCCGCTTGACCGTGTGCTCGATCACGATCTCGTCCTCGTTCAGCACGCCCTCGCGGATGGCGTACTTGATGGCGACCTCGGTGTTGTGCATCGCGTTGGCAGCGTCTTCCGCTTCTGCTTCGGTGTCCGACGAGGTGCTGGGCGGAACGATCTGCTCCGCACTCGCGCGCCGCTTCTTTTCGTGGTCGATGACGGACACGATGAACCCCTTCACCATCAGCTCGCGCTCTTCGCGGTCCTCTTCCTTGCTCTTCTCTTTCCGGAGCTCCTTTTCCTGTTCCCTGTCCTTGTCCTTGTGCCGGGCCTTCTCCCTACGCGCCCACATCTTCCTCTTCTCGGCCCACTCCTTCTTCCGCTGGCGCTGCTCCTGGCGCAGAAGGAGCATCTCTCTGCAAGCGCGCACACCACACCACACACACACACACACGGCGGCGACGACAGCGCGTGAGCGAGACATACGACGGAGAGATGGACAGGTCGTTGCCACGTACTTCTTTTTGTTGCGTTCGACCTGCTTGCGGATCGGGTTCTTGCTGTACTTGAGCACGAGCGGGCCGCCAAGCCGCTCCTGGTGCTGCCGCCGCCAGAGGCGGTCGTCCTCGGCCAGCTCGCGCCACTGGTGCGACACCAGCCTTTATGCAGCGAAGGGCAAACAGACAAACAGCGAACAAGGTGAGGTCGTAAGTGGTCTCACAGAGCAACAGGGGACTATTTTGGGCGCACATGTCGGGTATTATTTTCTGTGCGGCAACAGTGCAGATAATTATTAAACGAATAAATAATAATAATGTGAGAAAATAATACGGGTTATTATTTTCTCTTGGCGGCCAAATTGAACAATTTAAATTCCAATCCCCCTTCATTTTGTCGCTTTTCGCATTATTTAAATTTAAATGGCGATTAAATCGTACCTGATTTTGGCGAGTTGGCTTGGGCCGAGGAAAGAGAGGATGGCGAGGCGGATCTCGGCCGGCAAGAGGGAGAAGAAGGAGCCCTCCTCTCGGCGCACCCGCGTGATGAGTGATACAGAGCTGAGGCTCAGACACGGTAGATCCGCGCTATCCTCATCGTCGTCATCTTCCTCCTCCGCGGAGCTGCCTTCGTCCTCGCTCCCCTTGTCATCTGCATCCTCTCCTGCCTCGCCTTCATCGTTGTTATCGTCGTCTTCATCTTCCTTAAACATGTCGTCATCGTCAAAATCGTCGTCTTCATCTTCCGATGTGAACACCTTCCTGTCGTAGGTCCTCGTGCGGAACACCCTTAAGTCCATCGGGCCGCTCCCCCGCAGATCATCGCTCAGTTCCATCTCTTGTGCCTGCTGCGGGTTGCTGTTGTTGTGTTTTTGTGTTTTTGTGTTGTAACCGCGGCGTTTTGGTGGCCAGGCGCAAGCATTCCGGAAATGCCTGGCGGGCCACTGGGCAGCGCTGGAACCGGCAGAGAGGGCGGCCCGCACGCCCGCTGGACTGTCAAGCCGGTCGCCTGTGGACCTTGGTTGTGACTCGACACGCCCCTTGGCGACCACTTGCTAGACTGGTCGATCATTAGGGTCGACATTAAAAAAGAACGAGTCGCGAAAATTGGCCCAACTGCCGTCCCTGAACCGGCCGGTGAGCAACAAACCCACTGAGGCGATGGTGGACCATTAGACCGCCGACGAGCGCCTACGCTTGTTCTTCTCCGACCGAAACGTCGCAGCTGCGCGCAGGAGTCATACTCGCGGCGGTGATTCCTCCCTTGCTGTTTCGCCAACAGAACCGACCCTCCACAATTTCCCGGTTTTCATTTTTGCCGCGCTGCCATTGGCTGGCAGGGCGAATAAATCGGGCCAACAAAAGGACACAACTCACGAAGACGCACTCTGTTCCTCTTCTTGAGCCAAGATGAAGCACTTCCTCCTGCTCGCCGTCTTCCTGGGCCTCGCCCTGATGGTGTCCGCCAACGCCCGTTCGCCTCTTGCGGTTCTCCAGACTGCCCAGCACCTCGCCAGGACCATGAGCCCGCCCCAGGAGCCGTTCAGCTTCTCCTGGTCCAACTGCGGTAAATTAATTCACATCTCTCCATTTCCATTTGTGCCATTTTGCTGATTTTAAGGAGCATTGCGTAGGCTCGAGCAGCGACCCACCGTGCTCCTCGCCCTCGAGGTCAACCCCGACCCCATCGTGCTCGGCGCCGAGGCCCACGTTGCCGCTAAGGTTCACCTTAGTACGCTTGCCCTCCTATCGTTCTTCACAGATCTCGCAGAATCGAAAGATATTAATCGTTGTACTTCCTCCACGTCAGGCGAGACTGTGTCTGAGGGCTCGGGTCACACCGTGAGCCTCGAGATCTACAAGAAGTTCTTTGGCGCCTGGATCTACGTGCCTTGCGTTGAGAACGTGGGTTCCTGCACCATCTCCAACATCTGCGACAAGATCCACAACGGTAGCGACTGCCCTCTTGCCCCGTGGTACGCCCGCGCGAGTTCTCAACTCTATTCTTCACCTTACTTCCTTCTTCTTCTTCTGTTAACGTTGCACGTCTTCTTCACCCAAACAGGGGAGTGCCTTGCACGTGCCCCTTCAACGCCGCTACCTACACCATTCCCCCTCCCGGCGTCGCCATCAAGCTCCACAACCCCAACCTCAGCTGGCTCACCGACGTATGCTCCTCTTCTTTCTCATGGCGTACTCTTCCTCCATGGCATGTGGTGTCTCACCTTCGTCTTCTTTGTCTTCTCGCATGTACAGGGTGACCTCAAGGTGAAGGCCACCCTCAACGACGCTAGCGGCAAGAGGCTGGCGTGCTACCAGATCATCGCCTCCATCACCACCTCCTAAGCGCGCGCTTCATCTGGAGGCTTGGACCACGGTGATCTCCCTGTACCACCAGCCGCTGCTCTGAGCATAAAAGTTTCCATTTATGACTCCTTCAACTCTCGAGCCTGCGTAGCTGCTGATGCTTCTTGGCTTATTAGTTCTTCTTGCTCTTGTTCTTGTTCTTGGGCTTGGGCTTGGCCTTCTGGGCCTTGGGGGCGGCAGCGGCCTTGCCCGACTTGCGCTTCTGTTCCCTCTGGGCATAGATGTAGGCAGTGAACGGCCTGCGCCACCGCACACGCACACACTCGGTCAGCGCATTGTCAAACGTAAAGCAAACGTTGTGCGCGAGAGGAGATGAATGACGAAGGGGTGCGTACTCTTCGAAGAGAAGGGCGACGCGGTAGACGGCGTACACGACGACGGTCAAGACGAGACCAGCGGGGCTCGCCCTCCTGTGTCGCGCGCAATGGTGATGCGGAGTTAAACAACAACACGGTTGGAGAAGTGGAGGAAGAAGATGAAGACGAAGGCAAGAGAGGAAGTGGAGGAAGGTGCGTACCAGAGCGAGTGGGCGAGGAAGCACATGGTGGAGCCGATGTACATGGGGTTGTCCAGGATGTTGAAGGGGAAGCCGGTCACCATCTTGTCCATGAGAATGCCGAAGTAGTCGCCGAGGTACGTGCCAGTCACGCCCAGCGCCTGCCGCATGATCGGAGAGCAGACAAGAACGGGTCAGTCGCCACGGAGACGCAGACCACAAGACAAGGGTCCGTTGCGTACCCACATGGACGAGAGCACAAAGGTGGTTCCGGAGACGAACAAAACAGCAGCGACGCCCCTGATCAGGTCGCTCTGAAGCTCGGGGTGCGTGGCCTGCTCATCAAGGGCCTTGCCGAAGCTGGATGGATCAAGAATTCGGAGATAGGCAGCAAGGTGTGAGGCCGGAAAATCGGAAATCAGCTGCACAGGGGTGGGGAGGCAATGTACAGGAAATCGCGGTAGAGCGAGAAGGAAAAGATCCAGAGGGCCAGCAGGTAGCACCCGACGTAGGGCGAGGTGGTGATCTTAGTGAGGAAGCGCGTGTAGAACTCGAGCCGAGCGATGGTGTTCCAAATGATCGGGGCGATCACGATGCACACCAGCGCGTGCAGGAACGACGGCTTGGTGTAGTCGACATAGTCCAAGAAATTTGTAGAGACCTCGCTCATCTCGGCAAAATTTGCTGCTTCTTCTCTCGTGACGACGGCAACACGATGTCTGAGATTGCGCCAATCCAGCCAAGAAACTAAAGGAAAAGAATTAGCTGTCGACCAAGCCGCACAACAAGAAGACAGCGCGAGGATGATGGAAGAGGCAGTGCGGCAGGTGGGTCGTGCAAGGGGAGCGCCTCAGGTGACGCACATCGTTGTGGTTGGCTTCCACCATCAGATGGGACCCAAGGTAATATCCCCCCACATCTTCAATCTCCCACAACAGATGGAAATGGGAATGCTGGAGTACTGGGTGGGTCTAGTCTCGCTCACATGCTTCGCCAACAAGGTGGAGTTCGTGTACCCGCCACTGACCGAAGATGGGCCGCGAGATGAGAAGAGCGGCCTGCCAGCGGCTTGGGAGAATCTGCCCTTCCTGGCCCTCCCCGATGGCGTGCACCGCTCAGGTACTTCCAACACTCACCACGCTCGTGTGGGCGGGCGACGATGTACAACGTACAATGTCATACCGAAGGCAAGAGGCTCATCGCGATGATCGCAGAGGAGGACCACTCCTACTTCACACTGCCGCCTCTGCCGAGCCAGCGGCCACAGATCGGCCTCCTCTACGGCGTTTCCTGCTTTCGTCAGGTCCACGTGTCGGTGCGCGCCCACGACAGCTCTTTGCTCTTCATCTGTGTCGGTCCTGCACTGCACCTGCACTCCCCAGCTCAGCTCTGAGCTTGTTTGTTTGTGCCCTCCAGTCGTTGCACGTCAACTCAGAAGCCTACACGCGCACGCTGGTCCAGAAGACTGTCTGTGCACTTACGAACGTCGTACGATTCCCACCAGTCGTGTCTAGCTCCCGGCATCTTCTCGCCATGGTCGTTTCGGTTGACCCTCTCTTTGCTTGGCTTACGCGCGCGCACACAGCCCCTGCTGGGCTCCATTCAAGCTCGCCTTAGCCTGGTGACGCGCGCCTACTTCGACCAGGGCAACTTCGAAGACACTCAAATGCTGGCGCTCGTGCGTCGGCCTCTCTCTAGCTCGCTCGTGCCTCTCCGCAAATTAACCATCAATTCTCGCGCCAGGTTCACAACCAACTTAACGCTCCACTTAGCCGGCCGATCGCAGAGCCCTCGTTCTACATCGGTAAGCCCACACGTTCCCTCAATGACCTCTTTTCTCTCTTGTCACCGCACGCCGCAGCGACGATACTGCAGCGTGTGTTCTAAGCTGCGGGGCGCCTCTCTCAGGTTTCCACATCGGCCAGTTCGTGCGCTTGTTCAAGCGGGACTTCCTGGTGCTGTTCAAGCTCATGCTCCTCGAGCAGAAGGTGCTGTTCAATGGCACCTTCCCCGTGTCGGACATCTGCAACTGCGTCGTGTCGCTGCTGAGCCTGGTGCCGGGCCTGCTGAGCGACGCGCACAGCAAGCACCTCAGCCGCGCGCCTCCGCCGTCGCCCCCGCCCGTGCGTGACGGGGTCGAGCCCTCGCCCGCCTCCACACTCTCGCCGCTCGAAAGGCGGGCGGCCTTTGGCCTGCCCCTCCAGATATTCGACTCAGTCGACCGATCCGACGACCAACCCGCCGACGACGACGACGATGAGGACCATGACGACGCAGGATACCATCAACCGGAGCCCGCAGACAGTGATGGCGAGCAAAAGGCGGAAGATGCGGCCCCTCGCCGGTGACTAGTGCTCGCTTGATCGATTGCCGACAACGTGTGCTTAACGTAAGCTCATTGAGTGCTGATTGTGTGTCGTGTGTGTCGTGTATCTAAGCAGGCTAAGTAGCACAGGAGCCGTGGCTGTCAAGCTGAACCCGCTGTATCTGTACATTTGCATCCGGCAGATCGGAAACCTTCGTGAACACCCGGCCTACTTTGCCGCCGCCAGCAATCCGTTCTTTACCAGCGTCAGCGATGCCGACGTCACGGTCCATGTGCGTACACCATTCTCTCTCTCACCACTGCGGCCCGACCAGCCGCTGACGCGCCCAGTTTTTCTTCCGTGTGGTGTAGGTGGACCTGGGGCAGGTGATTATCAAGAACAAGTCCCTGTCTCGGGTGCTGTCTCTCACCCAATCCGATCGCCGGTTCATCGACTACATCATCCAATGCGCCGAACAATACGCCGGTACGACTCACACCAACGCCCGGTCGCAATCCGGTGCGCACTGGATTGCCTCGCCTGATGGCCCTAACGCACCCCACGAAACATCACTTCACGTCGGCGGTTGCCCTCCCTGTAGACGACGGCGGCACGCACTGGGAGGGAAGCGACGACTGGGTGCGCGCCCAGTTTACGTCGTACCTGGAGTCGTTCTTTGCGTCGCTGCTCACCGTCGGCCGCATCTTCACCACCGAACGCGAAGAAGTCGATCTATGTACGACGGAGTCCTCCCCCCCGCTGCCCACACGGTACTACCCACTCACCGCTGGTCGTTGGTCGTGTCGCTGTAGCGCCGGTGGTGGATTTCAACGTCGCGTGGGCCAAGGCCTGGCTGTCCACGGTCAACTATCAACGATGGAAGCTGCGCGTCAAGAGGACCGTGGTGAGCAGTCTCGCCGCTCCGGTGTACGTCTCCTCCGGAGCTCCTCTCGTGTGCGCGTTTGTCTCGCGTTGGTGAGTTACCCCTGACTCACCTCGCTGCCGCCCGCCTCTCCGCGTGTAGGCATCCCTCTGGTGCGCCCACGGACCTTCTAGACGAGATCTCCGATGGCGTCAGTGGTCTCTCCGAGAAGCTTGCCAGGTCTCCTCTCGCTCATATAATCGCACACACGCAATCACACACGCACACACGCCCGAATGCTGATTTTGCATGGACGTGGTGACGACAGCAAAATGGCGGAGATGGAGCTGGCTCCGCTGCGAGAGAAGCTGGGGACGGTGAAGACGGGCTTTATGCGGAGCTGGACCAAGCTCGTGACGGACAGCAAGGCCAACTGGGAGGCCGCCAAGAAGCAGTGGGATGCTCGGGCCCCCGCGGCGCAGACCAGCGGCACCACCACCGACGCGGCCGCCGCCCCAAAGCAGAGTGCCGCGCAAACGCAGGAGGAGGCGCAGCCGCAGCCGCAGCAGCCACCACCCCCTGAACCCTCACCATTGCCGTTGCCGCCACAAGAACCAACCGGGTCGTCGGGCAACGAAACGAGCGCCTGACGAGACCAACACACACGCGCATGCGTAGGGTATGGTGAATAGTTTACTGTACAACGCACATGTGCGCTCTCTTTCTCATGGCAGCGTTGGCGCTACACGTTCTGGTCCATCTCGTGGCTCTTCTTGGTCGTCTCGTCGGCACCCTCGGCTCCGCCGTCAGTACTGGTACTGGTGGTGGCGGTGGTGGTGGCCGGGGCGGCCGCTCGTCTGGGCCGCTGCGGGCTGGGGCGCGGGGAGGGCGCTGAGGCGCGCGCGGCGTTCTTCTTAAGGAGCTCGATCGAGTGGCCCAGCTTGGCTTCGAACTTGGCCCGCACCTGCACCTCGCGCCGCAGCACTGCGTCCAGGTGGCCCGCCAGCTCCGCGCCCACCAGCCTGTCGTGGGCCTCCTCCACCTCCGTCGCCTGCCGGCGCTCGGCCTCGATGCACTCAGCGAGCGCCTTGGCCCGCGCCTCGAGCCGCTCCCGCTTCCTGTTCTCCCTGCTGCAGAGCTGCTCGACCTGGACCTGGGCCTCGGCCTTCTGCCGGGTCCAGTGGGCCAGCACCTCCCGGAGCGAGGCCAGGCTGCGGTCCTGGTCGGCCTGCTGGGCCAGGAGGGACTCGCGCTCGCGCCCGAAGAGCTCGGCCTCGAGCCGCAGGTGGTGCTGTAGCTTGACCTCGGCGTCGATGCCCTCCAGCAGCTCCCGGTACCGATGGACCGCCCGGCGGTGCTCCTCCTGCAGGCCCGCCAAGTCCATGCCCTCCAGCGCTGGCATTGGACTCGTGAGCTCAGCCTCCTCCAACGTTCGGCTCTTCCTCCCCCCTTGCTGCCACAACGCCATTTTCGTTTCGTTCTTTTGTGACAACAGTTGTCTTTTTCTCTCAGTCGTTTCTCTTGATTTCTTGCAGTATTGCTTGTGCGCAATTTGTGCAACAAGCCCAGAGAGGAGAAGTGGTGAGCACAAAGTTATCTACATCTCCGCAAAAGGGGAATGGAAGAGCATGGACATGATCATAGTCATGGTGCTGGACGCGGGTGTTTTCTGGCTGAGGGCTGTTCAGCTGGTGTAGACGATCAGCACGATGATGCCAATGATCAGGGCGAGCAAAATCTGACCGCACACACCGCACAAGAAGAACAAAGCCGTCAGTGCTTGTTGAAGAAGATGTCAAAAGAAAGACCAGATGAAAGACGTACGATGCAGCAGAGGGCAAGGACGACGGTCCAAAACAGGTTCCGCTTCCTCTCGAGGCACTTCTGCTTGGCGGCGACGCGGGAGAAGAGGGAGCCCTGCTCTTTGAGCTTGTCGGTCGACTCGACCATCTCCTCGATCTTACCTTCTCGCACCAGGAGCCTGTCGAGGTTGTCCAGCGCCACCTTCTTCACGTCCTCCACCTTGCCCTGGATCTTGGTGATCTTGTCCACCTGCGCTGGGTCTGAGTAGCGCTTCTGTACACCGGTCGATCACACGCCAAGATGAGCCCCGTCAGTGTCGGAACGACCGTCAAGGTGGTGGCGATGGCGGTGGTGTGGCGTACGATCTCGGCCGACGTGAAGCGCTCGAAGCTGCTGATGTTCTGCTTGTCCTCGTAGCCGCCGCGCTCGTACTCAGTCTTGAGCACCGCGAGGAAGTCAAAGGCCACTCTGCCCTTCAACTCGCCCGACTTGCCCGCGCACAGGTACACCACCGCGTCGGCCGTCAAGACGTTGAAGATATATCTAAGCAGCCCCGACGAGGATGGCAACAAGCAAGTCAGAGGTAATCCTTGCATCACTTTCAAATCACTTCCCAAAACCAAGTCAAGATTGATGAGGCGCGCAGTTCGTACCCGTTGTCCTCGTACGACTTCTTTCCATCGTCTCGGTTATCGATCCTCTTGGCGATGCTGCGCGCGGTTTCGAGGGGAGCACCCTCGACACACGACACCTCGGTCGTCCGTCCATCTTCCTCCACTACAATAGCCACGCCGATTGTCATCTTCCTCTTTCTCTTCCTTGGCCTAGACGAATCTCAATCTATCAATTAATTCGCGCGAATCAATCGTGCCTGTAGAGATAGATGGATGCAATCGAAAGAGTCGCCTCTCTCTTTGTTACCGGTTGGTGGATTTGTTGCGGCCAGGGGCGCTTTCGGCGCTTTTATGGGTGGCCGCTTGGGCTTTTGGTGGTCTATGCCACGTCAGCCTTCTTTTCGCGCGTTTTTCTGGCGCCTCTCCTCCTGCGGCTCTCGCCACGACACACGACACACCACGCAACACAACACACACGCGGAGCAGATGGTGGAAAACAGAGTGGTTTGCATGTCCAACACTTGAGAGGACAGTGTGATAGAAGGTGTGAGAGAGTAGAGGGCAGGAGACGGAGAGCGAAGAAGCGTGCTCACTCGGCGACATTCCGGTCGCCGAGGGGCCTGGGCGATGCGGGCGCGTCAGCGAAAGCGTCGCCCGCCGTGGTCCTCCCCTTCTTGGTCCGCACTCGCACCACCGTGAAGCTGGTACGACTGAACTGTTGGTCCAATCCAATGCGAACGAGAGCGAAAATGTGAGCGAAATGCAACGCGAGTGACTGGAACAGAGAGCGAGCACCCGGCCGAAGCTCCCGACCGGTGTAGGGATGTAGGGGGCTCAGGTACCTTCTTGGGGTGAGGCGAGGGGTTCTTGGAGGGTCGGTAGGGCGAAGTAAGCACCAAGACGTTGTCCAGGTTCTCCTTGTCCAAGTGGAGGGATGACACGGCGGGGCTCATCTGAGACAACTCGCCTGCCGGACCCAGGCTTGGCGAGGCAGCGCACACAACCTTCTCCTCGCCAATCTCCTGCAAAGCATCGCCAAAGTTGTGAATGAGCACTAGTGGCCAGGTACTTACAACACCGGTGAGGAGGGGGTTGGTTGTGGGCAATGCGTATGTACCTTGGCCACGCCTTCAAGCACGTTCTGCCCCACCGGGAGAGAGAACCTCTTCTCCCTGAGCGCCTGCAGCAAGCTGTGTCGCGCCTGCTCCTCCGGGTCGAATGCGAAATCGATCTCGCTGCGCTCCTCACCGTCAAGCTCCTTCTCCCATTCCTCGACGCAGCCATCCTCGGGGCGCCGTCGCTTGGACGGAGACTCGTGGAAGCTCCGCGACATCCGCTTGAGTCGCTGCAGCAGTCCCTTGTCGGCGGCGTCCAGCAACTCTTCCGACTCGCTGCGCCTCGCAAACGAGGACGAGCCCGCCGACTCGAGGGGCTCCAACATAGGTCGCACTGGTCGGTCGAGCGAGGTGAGGCTGGCCGAGTGGGCGATCATAAGCTCGACCACCTTGATTACACTGTTGATGGCCTGGAGCTGGAGGAGGGTAGATTCGGTCTGCGACACGGAAGCGGCCGGCGCAGGCCACATGAGCGCCGGTCCGATCACCGTGGCCAGATTGTGTGGTCCCATGCAGTTCTCCTTGTTGTGTGTAGAGATCTGTGTGTTCGTGCGGTCAGAACTCAGCCAAGTGAACAGAACACATGCAAGCGAGCGATGACAATGAACCTCGCGCAGCAGGTTGAGTAGTTCCCGGAAGAGATGGCAATGGTCGTCGGACAGTGCCTCGAGGAGCTTGTTGACGTCCTCCACTCGCGCCTCCGTGTCTTTGTCGTCGTCTATGGAAAAGAGAGATGGGGGTTGAGCAAGCGCACCGCATGCGTGTTCGTCTGCATTGAGTGACCTACCGGCTATCTCGAGAAGCTGCGGGTAGAGGTCAAATGTGAGGAGTGGAGTGGGGAGCTCTCGGAGGAACAGCTTCAGCAACCCCGCAGCTTCGTGGCAGCCCGGGAACAGTTCTTCATCGTCCAGGTTAGCTGTTACAACACCTTCAAGCGACATGCAGAAAGAATGATGATGAGCGGCGAGGAGCGCGCGGTCGAGCGATTACTGGTATGCGTACCCTGGTTGAAGAACTGCCTCAGCTTGGTAATAGACTCGTGGAAGCCTGACACACGGAAGATGCCCTCCATTGTGAGGCCTCCTGCAAAGCTGTGGTGAGTGGCCTTGACCGACTGACGAAGGACGAAAAGACGACAGGATGCGTAAAGATGAGCCGCACCTTTGGCGCGCAGGAAGGCGATACAGGCGGACACGACGAAGGGTACAGCGGGACTGTAGGTCCAGCTGGCCGGGGTGTAGCCACCTTTCAGCAATCGAAGGCGCTGTTCCATCATCACCTCGGCGAGGGGCTTCCCGAACACAGTCTCATCGCTCCGCTCTCCACGAGGGGACGACGAAATCTGTGCGAAGGCCTCCGTCATTCGACTCCTTGCCTTCTTCATCCTTTTCGACAAGCTGGAAGACAACACCGTCCTCTTCCTCTGTCATGCGAAAACATCAGCGAATGCAAGCCGGCGCAATCGGCGCCAACTGTTGGGATGTACCTTGTTGGGGGAAGTCTCTGTCGATGAGGGCGGTTCCATATCTACAAATCTGTTTGAATTGGCAACAAAGACGTCCAGAAGGTGACCGAGACGTTGATTCAATCACTCAATCGATCACAGCAGGTCAAAGTGGCCGGTGGGCTCAACGCGCTCCCAACCTTCAACCAACGACAGCCCAGTTGCGCGCCAAAATTGTTGTCCCTAACGGCCACGCATTCTTCAAATTCATAAAGCCTACTTTTTTTGTTGATTTCCAAGAATCACTCTTAGCGATATTGATCAACCGGTTAATTTTCAACTTTAGCAAATCAAGCAGAGATCACCACAACACAATGGCCGACAAGAAGAAGGACAAGGTGAAGGCTGCGCCTGATGGCGAAGGTGCCATTCCACTTCATCGCCAAAATGTGCCTGTTCACACATTCAATCTGACACTGTCCTATTCGCAGCCAAGAAAATCATCCTTGACTACATGAAGACGGTACAGTGTTGCTTGCTTGCTGTCTCTACGTCTTTATTAATTCCACTTTAAATCGTACTACACAGCAAAATCGTCCCTTCAACGCGGTGATGCTGTTCGAGAACCTGCACGGGGTTGTCAAGAAGACCCAAGCCGTCAAGCTGATGGCTGATCTGGCTGCTGCTGGCAAAGTCGTAGAGAAGCTCAAGGGCAAGCAAAAGATCTACTGGGCCACGCAGGTATCATATGGGGCTCCTTCATTGCCTCAGCACATGGGCCGGTGCCTGACCACCGTCTTGTTGTTGTTGTTGTGCTTTGCAGGAGGGGCTCGTGATCGCCGATGCCAAGGGTTTGGCCAAGCTTGACAAAGAGATTGAAAGTCTGAGGACAGAGAAGAAGTCCATCGCAGGCGAGCTCGGCGAAATCGGAAGCCGTACGGCTGCTCTCCTTTGCAGCAGTAAACTGTGTGACTTGCGGCTCACCCTCCATTCAATGCCCAGGCATCTCGTCACTGAACAATGCTCTCACAAACGAGGAGGCCGATGCTGAGATTGAAAAGCTGACCAAAGAGGTTCCTTCCGCTGCCTGGCCTATACTACTCCTCAGCCAGTGCTCACGATTTCACACTTTCCAGAATGCCGAGCTGGAGACCAAGCTCACTCGATTGCGGGGGGGAGCCAAACTGGTTTCGAAAGCAGACAAGGACAAGGCCGAGAAGCAATATGAGCACGTGCGGGTACGTGCCCTTCACCAGCCACCTGCCTTTGTGTTGATCCTGCTCACGATCTGTTTCATCCATCCACCACTCGATCCATTTGCTTCCAGCTTGAGTGGCGTAAGCGCAAGAGAATGGTATCGTGCCTCCTTCCCACGACAGCCCTCACGCATTGTCTTGCGTTCTTACGGGCACCCACCCGTTTCGTTTTTTTCTTTCGCACAGTGCATGGACGTTGTGAAGCAAGTCGGCGAGGGAGCAGGAAAGAAGGACAAGGAGATTATGGTACGCTCGACACACGTGCCCCCCGTGTCTGTCTCGAGTGGTTGGATTCGTAGTGCAGTAGAACTGCGGACCTCTTACCGACCGGTCGGGTGTTCCATCGTGGCTGCGTTCGCAGGAGGAAGTGGAGCTGGAAGGCGATGACGACGCCGGCGTGGATCTCACCGCGGAAACAAGGACCGCCAAGAGGAGGAAGATCGGCGACTGAGAGCCGCACCATCGCGAGACCAGGTGGCTGCTTTCAGTGATACTATTGTTGTACATGTTTCTTGTTTTGTTGTTTGTATCGTCAACAGCCGAGAGTGGAAGAGGGCGTCGGGGTTAAAATCTTTTGGAAGCAACAGAACATAGACAAGTGAAGTGAAAGGATGCCAGTGGGTGGCCAGCTGCGAAGGCAGTGGTGTGGGTTCTTGTTGCTCATCTGCGGCACCTTCGTGCTGCTGTTCGTTGTAGTGCACCAGTACTCGCCCGCTCCCCCCGTCCTTGTCAGGTGCCCCCCCCCCATCCACTTCTTGGCTTTGCTTCATTCTTTGCCGTGTGGTGGCAGCAGGGATGACGAAGCGTCTTTGCGGATGGGGCCGCTTCCCGAGGAAGAGACACTCGACGGCGTAGTGGCCCCAGAGACCTATCCGCGCGGCACCGCGAGGTACCACCACCAGCACCCTGCCTGTAATGTGTGTGTGTGTGTGTGGACGTGCGCTTACGAGCGACGAACTGGCACAGCGAAGAAGCGGAAGGGGGGTCCGCTGTGACACTCTGAAGAGCCTGGGCGAGTGCGCCCGACATGCACACTGCACTCCGATCCAGGGCGATGCCTGCGCTGCGCCTGGCACCGTGGACAAGTCGTCCCTGTTTGGCCACTGCGTAAGCTCTCTCTTTGCCTCAACCTACTCCAGTACGCATCCCCCGGTCAGTGATCACGGCCAGCCGCTTATCTCTCACTCTCTCTCATTCTCACTCACTCTCTCTCTCTCTCTCTATCTCGCCAGCGCAGCGAAGAAGATGAAGTTGCGGCGAGAGGTCCCCGAGTGGATGTCGTGTCATCCGGACCACTCCGCCATCTGTGCTCGCCCCAGCGGTTCGGGAGGTCCGGTCGCTCGCTTCACCCAGAAGATCATTCCGCCCGGTTGGGTGCAGGTGGTGACCCCCTTCCACTTTCACTTGCCCGCCTTCCCCCAGGCGCAGCTGCCCACTGCCACTGACCCGCGCGCCCGCCGCCGCAGCAAAAATGTGTGGACTGCTGCGTGCCGCCGGAGCCAGTGCCCGGATCAGCGGATCAATCGCTGGCCATCATCGTCACTGTGCAAGAGTACGTGGGCTCTCTCGACCCATTCCCCCTCCCCCCAACTCCTTCAATGCGTTGAAGCAAAATCGTAATGAACGTGGTTTGCTGCTCCTGTGGGGCACACAGTGAGCTGGCGAGCCTGGTGAATGCACTCAAGTCCTGGCAGAGGCATGGGCTCCTCGACTACGCGCAGGAGAGGTACCTCAACATCGATGGCGGAGACTCCGACTCGCGGAACAGGATCACTGGTCTGGCCAGGTCCTACGGCTTCACCGTGTTCACGTCCGAGACGAGCCAAGGCATCAGCAGCGCAATGGGTTCGTAGTTTCCATCAACAATCAGTTTGATTACATTTCATGCGGCTGCTGACTTGCCACGACCAGCCCGGCTGATGCAGGCGGTGAAGAGCCCGTTTGTGCTCCTGCTGGAAAAAGACTGGAAGCTCGTAGAATCCCGGGCGACGGTGTTGAAACAGGTACGTTTTTTTATATATTTATATATTATTTAAAATGTTTATTTTTATTCATTCTCTATTTGTTTCTGTTATTTTCGCTTCACGCACCCGCCTGTGTGTGCCAGCTCGACCTGGCGAAGCGCCTGATGTTCTCCCGGCAAAACGGCTCCCGGGCCGACCTGGTCAAGTTCCGTTCGCGGTGGAACTTTGGCTTCCCCAACGTCAGCCCGCGCAAGACCGTGCCACCGGACTGGGACATCGGCGTCAGCATGGTAGTCCTTCTCTCACACCGGTCCACTCGCAGCAGCCCGACCAGGCGCCCGCCGCCACCTCTCACACCTGTCCACTGTGTCACCGTACCACACAGGTACGGACTCGGGCGAGATGGGAGCCACACTTGTTCTGCAACATCTACCACTACCAAAGCGACGAGGTGCTCTTGAGCCGCTATCCCAACAGGTACGACGACGCAACTTCGGCTGGCCGGTGGCCCTAATTCGTGTGGCACACTGTCGAGTTTGTGACGGAATTGGTGTGGTCTTCCGGTGGTGCAACGACCAACGACAACAACAAGGATGTGGCGGTGTGGGTGTGACTTCAACTACTGGTGCTTCGATTCCGGTCAGTGCGGGTGGACCAACAATCCCATCATGTTCCGAAGGAAGTGGTGGCTCGACATGATGGTACGCCCACAGCAGCCGCACCACCAGCATTTGTGCCCGGCCGGTGTGTGGCGTGTGTGTCGTGTGTCGTGTGTCGTGTGTTTACCTGTTCGATCACACCGCAGCATGGAATTGCGCACAAGCACAGGAACAAGGTGTTCGAGGCCGGTACCTACTACTCGAGCGAGTGGCTGCTGCCTCACTGGGTCGTGGCGGAGAGCGATGGGCTCTTCACGCATGACGAAATCGGTGAGGGCCACGAGCGCAAATACATCTGACCTAGGCTTTATTCCGAGTCAGTGTCAGGGCGTTAGGCGTTGGTTTGGGCAGCAGCAACGGCAGGACGAGCCTCGATCAGGTTGAGCTGCTGTTGCGGGGCGAGCACTTGCGTCAGCTCCAGCCCGGCTGACTGCAGCAGCTGCCGGTGCTCTTCCTCCGTGCGCTCTTTGGCTCCGAGAACCACCATCATGTCTGTTCCAAGTCCGTGGCCTGTCGGTGAGAATGGGGAACCGGGGTTGTGCGTGTGCTGGTATGTGGTGCGCGAAGGGAGGACTTACGGAGGTCGAGAGCTTTGGACAAGGAGGGTTCATTGCCTGGCGGGACCACGCACTCGATGACCAGCATCTTGCTCTGGTGGCCCATGGACCTGCGGGTGGCCTGCAAGATGCGTCGTGCCTGTTGATCGTCGCTTGTTAACTCTGCCTTGGCGCCCTCACTTTTTGTGCGTAAATACTGCGACGCACCTCATCGTCGGCCCAATCGTGAATGATCGACTTCAGCAGGTAGAGGTCGACCCCGGTCGGGATGTTGGTCTCCGCCTCAGCAGCCAGGAAGCTGCCTGCGTGCAGTTCCACTCTGTCCTTGAGGTCATCGGGCACCACGACCTTCTCGATCACGCTGGGAATCTCGAAGAGGTGGCCCTTCGTGATATGAGGGAACGCCTTCAGGATGGAGAACAGCTGGCTGCGACCCACAATCCAGTGAGGGTTGGTCGTCGGTTACAATGTACAGTCTTCCCCAGTGGTGGCGAGAGTGAGGTACCTGCCCAGACCGCCTCCTATGTCGGCGACGGAGGCGACCTTGGTGAAGTCGTAGTTGCTCAACACCTGGGATGTTTGGCGGGACGTGTGGGCGCTCATGGCCAAGTTGAAGCACTGAGTGATGCGTGAGAGAGTGAGCGAGCAATCGAACCAGAGCAATCAGCACATTCGCTCGAGCGCTCACTTACAGTGTTGGCTTCCTCGTCCTGCTGCAGGTAATCCCAAAAGTTCTCTACCCCCAACGTAGCGGCCGAGGCGGATTTGCCGTCCTTGAGCGAGCCTCCGAAGCCGCCCCACAGCCTGCACCACCAAAGACCCAAGGTTTACTTGATGTTTGCTATTCGCAAACCAGCACTTTCTCGCGGGACTGCGAACGTACGCGTAGAGGGCGTCGCTTCCTCTGTAGAGCACCATGTTGCGCATGGGGGTTCCCTCTCGCAAGAGCTGGCTCGTTTCGTTGAGGTCAAACTTGCACGTCTTGTGGTATTCCACGTTCTGCGTGATCCATCGGTTGCAGGGTGTGAGGGCCCACCTTAACCAAGGGGCCTGGTGGAGGGGGGAAGCTGCAGTTGCGTACGTCGAGAGGGCCGTCGTACATCTCGAGCAGGCCGAGACTGGCCGCAAAGCGGAGCATGCGGAAGAAGGGCTGGGGCTGGTAGTCGGGACCAACCTTCTGGGCTATCTCCTCGGCCGACAGTGACTGCATGTGTCGCAGCGAATGAGCGCCGGCAGTGTTACGCTGCAGGTTTTCTAGAGGTTGTGGTGTACGCACGTGATCGGCGGAGGCAATGATGTCCACCACGCCCAGCTTGGTGAAGGTGTACAGAACTCGAGAGGCGGAGAAGCCTGCATTGCCCGCCCCCAAAGGGGAAATGATCATTGTCAATGGATGACACCTGGTGCAGGTGCGAGGGGGTACAAGTACCAGACACCAATTGCATGATTTTGTCCGCCATAGCTATGTGGTAGATGTTGTGGGTGTTGTGGTAAATGAATGGATGTTGGAGTAAAGTGTTGCGGTCCTGTGCTTTTTGAGGGATGCCCCACAAGCTGGTTATGGCCTTTTCCTGTAAAGTGAAACTTGCCCATTGGTACACCTGGCGTGGTGGATAACAAGAAAGTGAGGGGAAAGATGCGTGTTGTTGTGAATAGTGTGCGTCCACTATGCACACATACGACCAATCACGCACAACATTAGTGTGCGGAAAGATGCGTGTGGTGGAAATTGTGCGTCGGGCTGGTGCCCACAGGGTCCGTCTGCATTTGGTTCGTTCACTCAAGTATCTCGTGCGGCGCGTCCGGCTGTTCGCCCAAGGCCTGCTCCTCGAGCTTGTGCTCCTCCTCGGCCGACACGAAATCAACCCCCACCCAGTCGGTGGCCCCGCACTGGGGGCACTTGACCGCGTACCTGTTGGCCCACTCCGGCCAGCCCCTGTGCCACACACCACACACACACACACGATACGAACACGTAGTGAGCGAACAAGAACAAATGTTAAGACACTTAATGGGGCAGATGGTTGCGTACAGGTAGAAGTTCTCGACATCCAGGTCGTTCCACCATTCCTCCTCTTCAACCGTCAGGTCGGGGTAGTGACTCAAAAACTCCTTGAGTGTGAGCTGCTTGCCGCAGCTTCCGCATTTGAGCACCGGGTGGTGCTGGACACCATGAACGGTGTTGACATAATTGATCATAGGAGTTAGGGAGACCACTTCGGCTGTGGGCGTGCGTGTGCGGTGTGTACCTCCTTGTGCGCCATGTGGTGATGTACGCGGTGGAAGATCTTGTCGATCTTGGTGGCGAGAACGGCGAGCTCCTCCTGCACAAGCTTCTCGACAGTCTCGAATTCTTCGATGAGCTTGCTCTTCACCTTCTTCCACTTGCCCTTGAGGGCGCCCTTTTCGGCCCCCTTCTCGACGCCGGCCTTGACCTTGGATTCGAAGTCCTGCACGCGCTCCTTGAGCTTTTGCTTGACATCGCCCGCTTTGATGGCGCCGATGGTCTCCTTGGCCTTGTCGTAGGCCTTCTGCCACCTCGACCGGAAGTCGGGTCCCTCAGTCTTGAGCTCCTTCAGCAGTTCCTCCTTCACCTCCTTCGCCAGCTCTTTCTGAAGCCATGTGTCGTGTGTGTCGTGTTAGTGAGCCGGTACTGACCAGGCTGTTCGAGGGGAGGGTCACATACGGTTACGCCGAGAATGCTGATGTGGAGATCTTGCACGTCCTGGGTGAAGGCAGGCCACTCTTCGGTCACATGTCCGTGCTTCTCCTGTAGGACGCGTTAATGGTCGTGTGCGCAACCCCCGCCCCCACCACCTCCGGTACCGGAGGTGAAAGCGTACGCCAGTCTTGAGGAGCTCCTTGGGGTCGACTGTAGGCTCGTCCATGAGCTTCAGAATCTTGTGCAGCTTCTCGCCCCTCTTGGTCAGCTTGTTAGAGTCCTGCGAACACAAAAGTTCGGTTCCACAGTCAGCAGTGTCCCCAGCTCAGCCGACACACACATGCGAGTGCCGTACCTTAGCGCCGCAGCTCAACGCCACCAAGGCCAGCAGCAGGCACGCCACAATGGCTAGCGTTCGGTACCTCATCATATGCCCTCTCTTGCTCTTGCTCTTGCTGAAGTTAGTGTTATGTTCTGTGTCTGAGGCCAGCGCCGACTGCCCGTGGACGGCTCCGGCATCCTCGGCCTTCCCGCGCAGTTCTCCGTGCAGCCCTCCTGCAGAATCCACCGAATTTCACGCACCAACGCAATAATTTGGGCCGATTTTGTTCAACGCACTTTACTTGGCCGCTGATGAATGTCAGCGCAAGGGCACACGCGCGCGTGTTACAGCGGTTGGCGTAGCAGTCGACCACTTCAGCGTCCGCCCCTTCGCCGGGCGGCGATCAGGCGACGGCCGCCTGCAGGCGCGGAGGAGGAGGAGGAGGCGCTGCCGAGAGAGAATCCGCCGCCGGCATCGCCGCTCGCCGGGTCGCTGCCGCCCAGGGAGAACGGCGACGGTGCCGAGGCCGCCGAGGGGTCGAACGACGACGAGAAGGCCGAAGAGGCTGCGGGCGCGAAAGAGAAGGCCGAAGTCGAAGAGAGGAGGAGGAGGAGCCCGGGTTGAAGGAGGAGGATCCCGGATTGAAGGCAGAGGCAAAGGAAGAGGTGCCGGCGGAGGAGGAGGAGGAGAAGGAGGAGGAGAAGGAGGAGCTGAAGGCCGGCGCGGTCTCGGACGGGGTGGGCGCGACAAAGGGCGTGCTGAAGGAGAAGGAGGAGGCCTCGGTCGTGTACGAGGACGAGGCGGGCACGTCGTCGTCGTCATCGTCGTCATTCCGGCGATAGGAGTTGCGTGATGTCCTGCTGTGCTTAGCGCTTCCAGTACGCTCGATTCTAGAGGGACCCTCGTCCTCTTCATCGTCCTCGTCCTCTTCATCATCATCTTCTTCGTCTTCCTCGTCTTCCTCGTCTTCCTCATCTTCCTCACCTTCCTCGCCTTCCTCATCATCGTCATCCTCCTCGTCGTCTTCGTCATCGTACTCTCGGTCCTCGCCCTCTTCTTCGTCGTCGTCCTCGTCGTCCTTCGCTGCGTTGGGCGCGTCACTCGCGTTACCGCCGAGCACGTTGCCGAACGTAAACTGAGACGGCCCGCCTGTTGGTGTCGATAAGGAGACGGTGAGGTGCGATCGTGTCGAGAGAGAGAGAGAGAGAGTACCGAAAAGACCGGCTGGCGATGAGGGTACACCACTGGTAGAGTCGCCCCCTTGGCTTGGCGGCGTGTTGGGCTTGTCGGAGGTGGTCAAGAACGAGAACTTGGGGGGCTGCACCGCGGCGGAATCATCGCCCTGTGGCTTTTCCTGAGTCGTACCCGAGCCACTGTCCTTGGTGAGAGGCTCGGCCGCCGCGACGCCGGACGTGTTCGAAGTCGCAGGAGCAAAGGCAAACATGCTCGAGGCAGACGAGGGGCTCGCCGCCGAGGAGCCCGAAAGGAACGAGAATGCCGACGCGGGCTTCCGTTCGGTTCCCGCAGGGGCGGCGGACTGTCCGGAGCTGGTGAAGGAGAAGGGCGAGGCAGATGACAGCGGCGGTGCATCGTCTACAGTGCGCTTCTGCCCCGACGGGGCAGCTGCAGGCGCGGAGGTCGATGTGGCGCCGAACAGAGGAGCGGTGGCAGCAGGCGCGATGGTCGACGTGGCTCCAAACAGAGGAGTGGTGGCAGCAGGCGCGGAGGTCGACGTGGCGCCGAACAGAGGAGCGGTGGTAGCAGGCGCGGAGGTCGATGTGACGCCGAACAGAGGAGCGGTGGCAGCAGGCGCGAAGGTCGACGTGGCTCCAAACAAAGGAGCGGTAGTGGCGGGCGCGGAGGTTGACGTAGTGGCGCCAAAGAGGGAGGTGGTGGCGGTGGCCGAGGTACCCGTCGCGAAGGGACTGGGTAGCGAGGGGAAGGCTGGCAAGCCACTCGCGGAAGAGGGTGATGAGGTCGAAAACAACCCCGACGACGAAGCCGAGCTCGAGGTCGCTGGCGCCTCCTCGTGCTTCTCAGAAGCCTTCTCGGTGTCGGCCGACGCAGGAACCTTATCTTCGCCCGCAATGGCGGAGAAGGAGAGAGCGGGCTTGCCGGAGAAGGAGAACGCAGAGGGGAAGCCACCACTCGTATCCAGCCCTGCTCCCGGCTTTTGGTCACGCTTGGAAGCACCACCGAGGGGCGACGTCTGGCCAAAGGCCGCACCGAGCGAGGAAGTCTGACCGAAGGCGGTCCCGAACCCGGTCTTGGACCCAGCCGTCGCCGAGAGGAAGCTTGAGCTCGTGAGCGCGCCGGCAGTTCCACCTGCAAACAAGCCTCCCGATGATGGCGTCGAAGACGGCAGAGCAAAGGATGACGGCGCGAAGGAGAAGGGTGCGACGGTCGAGGCGGTCGTCGATGATGAGGGGGCAGGATTCACGGCCCGTCGAGGGCGAGGGATCTCACTGTCGGACTCAGATTCATCCTCATCGCTTTCGGAACCACTGCCCTCGTCCTGGTCCGTATCTTCGTCCGAGTCGTGCGAGGGCCGCGGTCCGGACGGTGCTGCCTCTAGACTCTCGCCGAGGGAGGAGGCAAGGGAGAAGGGCGATGCTTCCGAGGAAGCGGGAGCGGGCGTAGTCGTGCTCGTGCTCGCCGAAGAGAAGGAGAAGGAAGGAAGGGCGCTCGCGGAGGAGCTGAACGAAGCGAATGAAGCAGGCGCCGCAGAGGAGACGGAGAAGAGATTCACAGGACGAGAAGCGGAAGGCGTCGGAAGGGAGAAGGTCGGCATCGTTGCCGCATCACCATCGCGCGAGGCTTCCGATGCGGCGGGTTCTTGCGGTGCTTGCAGCGCAGGCTCGACATCGGTTGTTTTCTCTGCTTCCTCGGCGGTGGGGAGTTGCGGCTTGTCATCTTGGACCGGGCTTGAGGCTTCGGGTGACAGCTCGGCGGCAGCGCTGGCGGCGTCCTTCGCTTGGGCGTCGGTTGCTGGCTTGACAGCCGAAGGTCGAGGTACCATGCACGTTGAGCAGGCCGTCGCAGACTCGTCGTTGATTTCCGTGCAGCAGGCGCATTCCCATCCGGTGGTCTTCTTGGCTGACACGAAATCGAAGCGTCCCGCCCCTGTCGCTGGTACGCCGAAGGAGAATCCGGTGGAGCTTGGCGTGGCAGTGTCCGCTGGTTTGTCGCCAGCATCGGGGGCAGCTGCCGCAAGCGAGAAGCCAGACTTGTCCGCGGTGCTTGGAGCATCAGTCTCTGCGCTGCCGCCGAAAGCGAACCCTGGCGTGGGAGCGGTCGTGGCGGGGCCGAAGCTGAACGGGCTCGACTTGGTGTCGGCGGGCTTGGCGCTTTCTGTTGTCGCCGTTGCCGAGGGAGCGGATGCGAACGAGAAGCCTCCAGAGGAGGGGGCGCCTCCGAAGGAGAAAGCTCCGGCAGTGGTAGTGGGCAGACTGGAAGGCTTGGCAGGCTCCGAGGAGCTGACATCGGGCGAAGGTGTCGACTTGGCTGCTTCAGGATCTGCAGCAGTGGTTGACGGGCGGGGCACCATGCAGGTGGAGCAGGTCGTCGCCGATTCGGAGTTGTCGCCCTCGCAGCACGCGCACTTCCATCCAGCAGCTTGTCCGGTGGTTAAGGAGCTCGCGGAGGCCGGTGAGCCGCCAAAGGAGAAGCCTCCTGCCGAGGGTCCGAACGAAAATCCGGAGGTGCTGGCTTCCTTGCTCGAGGCGTCGGCGGTGGCCGCTCCAAGTGAGAAGCTGCTGGTGGCTCTACCTGTAGGCCCGCCAAACGCGAAGCCGCCCGGCGGGGCAGGACCGAAGGAGAATGCTGCGGGCTTGTTGGCTGTCTCTGTCTTCTCCGGCGTCTCGCACTCGAGGGTCTTTGGAGTGGAAGATGTCACGGCAGGTCGCGTCGTGTCGGTTCCTGCCGCTGTCTTGGGCGCCGCGGCGGGACGGGGCACCATGCAGGTGGAGCAGGTCGTTGCCGATTCGGAGTTGTCGCCCTCGCAGCACGCGCACTTCCACCCGCTCGTGGCCGACGAACTCTCGGCCGTCTTGGATGCTCCAGTGAAGGAGAAGCCAGAGGATGTAGCCCCTCCGAAGGAGAACCCGCTCGACGAAGTCGGTTCTGCTTCCGGCGTGGCTGCAGGCGATGTCGATTGGCCGAAGACAAAGCCGCCGCTCGACGGCGCGGAGGTGCTTGCTGCTGTTCCGCTCTGGCCGAACGCAAATCCTCCACTTGCTGGGGCAGCACCGAAAGAGAAGCTGCCGCTCGACGACGCCGAGCCGGAGGCGAACCCGGCAGGCTTACTGGCCTCTGGCGTATCTGATTCAGCGCTGTCAGACGTTGCGGCTGTCGTGTTTTCCGTGCCGGTTGTCTTGGCGCCAGCCGGACGTGGGACCATGCACACACTGCAGGCCGTCGCCGACTCGGGATTGTCGCCCTCGCAGCACGCGCACTTCCACCCGCTCGTGTCCGACGAACTCTTAGGTGCACTGGCAAACGAAAAGCCTCCGACAGAAGCCCCGCCGAAGGAGAACCCGGCCGATGAACTGGGCTCTGGCATGGCTGCTGTCGTTCCTGCCGTGTCGCTCTGGCCAAAGGCAAAGCCGCCGCTCGACGGCGCGGAGGTGCTTGCTGCTGTTCCGCTCGTGGCCGAACTCTCGGGCTTGGCGGCACCGCCGAAGGAGAAGCCACCAGAGGAAGGCGTTCCGCCGAAGGAAAAGCCAGTCGACGTGCTCGGCTTCGTGAGAGGGGTCGCCTCGGTGGCGGTTTCGCTCTTGCCGAATGCGAAGCCGTCACTCACGGGTGCAGAGGCCTTCGCCCCACTTGAGACCAAGCCTCCTTTAGCGAGGAAGGAGCGGCCGCCCGAAGCAGAGCCGGAGGCGAATTCAGCGGGCTTGCTCGCCTCAGAATTAGGCTGTTCTCCGAAGGTTGTAGTGGGCTCGGTCCTGAGGCTTTCGGTCGCCGAGCTAAACGAGAAACCACCGGGAGGAGCAGGGCCGAAGGAGAACGCGGCAGGCTTGCTGGACTCTGGCTCCGTTGTCGTCTCCGATTCCTTCTTTTGTGCCTCGGCGTGTGCCACGGAGAACCGATTCTCTGTGGGCTGGCCGGCTCGCTGGAAGCCACCAGCGAAGGAGAAGCCCGCCGAGGCCGACGGAGCCTTGTCTTGCGACGCCGGCGAGGAGAACAGCGACGACGTAGGCGCACTGCTTGATCCCGGAGTAGCAAATCGCACTGGCTGGGGCGACGAGGTGCGCCTCGGCTCGCGCTTCGGAGATGCCACCACGACGGGAACCGCGATCGGCTCTTCAGCTTCGGTGATAACCTTAGTGCGCTTTTGGTCCTTGACCGCCAGCACAGGAGATGCCTTGCCACCGTCATGCAGGAACCTTGCTGCACATTGTGCGCGTAGCTCGTGCATTTGACTAAGCCGGCTCTGCGTCTTTGCCTTGAAGGCCTGTCATCATTCAGAGCGCAGTTAGCGTAATGGCTTAAATAGGTGACGGCATTTGTCATACCTGAGAGGTCTGCGTTTGGGCCTGGCTCGGCGCAGGCGAAAAGGTGAACGGGCTCGACATCTTCGTGATGGGCGTAGATGGCGGAGTAAAAAGCTGCTCCATCTCTGCAGGCGTGTAGGCTGCAGTAAAGATGACAGTGTGAGCCCCATCTCGGTGCTTAAGCGGGACGAGGAGCAGAGATTAAGCCTTACCTCCTGGAGCCTCAGAACTGGTGGGTGGGGTTGCCAGTACGCTGGGAGCAGAGACTGTCTCGGCTTGGTCGATTCGTGGCTCTTCATCTTCTTGCGCCTTGGGAAGGACCGCGCTGCCCTGTAGCTGAGCACAATAGGATCCCAGTTGTCGTGTGGAGAACAGCTCGGTAGGCTTGTCGATGAAGACAGTGAGTGGTTCGCGAGGCCGGACTCCTTGTCCGAAGCTCTTCTCCTCTCCTCCGGCGTAGTACTGTTGGTAGTAGAGCAGCGACTTCCAAAACCGCTGCTGCGACGAACTGGACAGGTTGTCGATAGGCGCGACCAGCTGCTTCCTAAAGGTGGGTTGTGAGCTAAGACAGCACTTGCTAAAACCACCAACACCGACGAGCTGCGCAATACACACCGATAGAAGTCGTGTTGCTCGCACAGCTTGTCGATGAAGTTGTAGATGTCGACGATCGTAAAGGGTTGGGTGAACGGCAACCACACTAGCACCTAAAGATGGATTTCAACAATATGCACCAGCAATGTTCCTAAGAGAAGCAGGCATACCTTGTCCGCGGAGGAGAGGAAGAGGAGGTCGAGGAACTTTTCGATCATCTTACGTAGCTTGTGTCGCCAATAGAAGGAAAGGATGTGAATTATGCGGTCCAGATCGGCAGCATTCTTGGCAACGGCGACGCGATCGCATGTAGCAGCTGAAGAAGAAGCAGATGATGTTAGCGGCAAGCCGGTCTCGTGGACAGGAAGTTCGTTACCTAAGCCAAGCATGCGCGCCTTGTAGGCCTCGACATTTTCGAGGAGCTCTTGGGCTTTAGCAGGAGTAAGCTCAATGGCGAGCAAATACATAGTCTTCGCGATTTCGCTCAGCCTCTTCGCAGCCAATAGGTGCACCGCTTGCAAACGCTGGAGAGATGCGTTGTCGATCTCGGCAGGCAGTGCCGGGTGAACTGATAGGATACGAAGGGTCAGCCAACATGAGGGGACCCCGGGCTTGAGCTGTACGTACACTCACGAACGGACTTGCCAAAGTTAACATGAGCCTTTACAGCAGCATCGTAGCTATGAGACTGACGGTACTTCCGGTGGTGGAGGATAGCAAGGTAGCCCCAAACTCGCGCCTTATACTCCTGAGGTGGGATCGGTTAACATAACTACCGCTACTATGAGCACAGTTAGCTGCACGTGCCTGCAGGAGCTGAGCATCTTCGTTGAACACTTCTCCGCCTTTCACCTTGGGCACTTGACCGCTGATCAGGCCGTTGGCTTCCCGTACGAGGTCTCGAAGCTGCTTGCATGAGGCCATGCAGTCCAGGTGACTGAACAATCTGATGTACGCAGTAAACGGTCAATGAAAGGCAAAGGGATGGGGTGGCCGTAGGCGTAGGCGTACTCTTCGTGCTGCGTCGCGATCCGAGTGTAATGATCGCAAACGAATATGCGGAAGAAGAGGAGCTCCTTGGAGAGGGTCGAGTGGCCTTCCTTGGCCTCAGTTGCGCCGTTCTGGTGACCACGGGAACCATTCGATCCCGCAGGAAGTCGCGCTGCAAAGTCGTTGAGCCAGCTCCACCACTGCAGATCCTCGTCGAGCGAACTACTGGCGACACGAGCACGCTTCATGGCCCTGAAAGTGTGCATGCTTAAGTAATGCGTGGTCAAAGGAAAATGAAGCAGCGTCCGCTGTATACACACCCTTCGATGTCGCCCTTGAGATTGTGAAGCTCCACACACTTGACGTGCAGAGCCAAGTTGGTAGGATGCTTCTGCGATGCTTCGTTGGCTACGTGAAGTGCTTGATTCATGTCGCCTGAATCAAGTATGAGCGGATGTTCACATACACGAGAGGGGAGCCAACGCGCTACCGTTAAGCTTCAGAATGTCGCTCTTTAGCTCCGCCACAGCTGGGTCGCCCCGTTCGAGCTGCTCCACCCTACACGATACAGCGGTGAGGACAAGTAGCGAGGAAGACGGGATAAGGGACCCATACTTAGCAGCCCAGCGTTCGGCTTCACTAAGAAATGGTTTTGTGGTATCCTCCTGGTGCAAGCGGATCAAGATGCGCGTGATGCGGTAGAAGATGCTCGTTTGGCTGGGATTCAGCTTGAGCGATCTCTGGTAGGTGGCCACTGCATCGGAGTACCTGTGCGCTTCCTCGTAGAGCTCTGCCAAGGCGACAAACACCTGAATCGAAGTGAGACGGACGAAGGCAGCGATCGAAGGGGCAGCGAAATTCGTGTGTACCTTTGCGTCTGGCTTGAGCCGCACCGACTTGAGCAGGTAAAAGATTGCTTGGTTGATATCTCCCAAGTCCTTGTAGCGTAGGCCAACATCTGCGAAGGTCGTAATTTGCTGCGTATGGGAGAGAGATTTGAGATTAAATTGATGCGCTACGTGCAAGATTTCCTGAGTGCACGCACCTGATCCTTCGACTTGGTGCTCGCAATTCCTGCAAGGAGCTTGTCTATCTCCTGCCGCCGATGGTCGGGCACGGGCCTCCGCATCTTGTTGTTTTCTGTTCGATCTTCGCGAAGTTTTGCTGTACCTTTTTGTTCCCGCCTTTTTCGAGGCGTAATGTGGCAGTACACGTCATGCTGGGAGCCAATTTTCCCGCGCCTTGGCGCACAAGGAGAGGCTCGGCATTCGATCGCGCGTGAGAAGATGAAGGCAAGGCAATTTGCCGCCTGCGGAGGGGCAATTGGCCTGTTCCTCTTGCTGGCTTGCTGCCTCCCAGCGCTGGCAACTGATGCCGACAAAGATCCTTCCATCAGCCATGCCACTCTGCTGCTGCCGCACGCAACGAGCGAGACCAAAATCTCTTACACAATCGAGGCCTTCAATGGATGCTTTAAATGGTGTGCCACACTGCCCCCCCAATAATGTTGTTTGTTAATCACTTAATGACGAGGCTCCGCTGTGCAGGAGCTCCTTGAATCCGGAAATTGTGTCTATCAAAGCCATCTACGCCAACGAAGAAATGCGCAATAAGGAGTGTGCATCGCATGCTAGCATCACGCCGGAGATCATGTCCACTGAGCGTCTCTCAACCTGGGTGAAGGCATACGATTCGGAGAGCGGCAGGACGCTGCGGTGTGAGGTCTTCCTGGATACGGTGCACAACATCAGCATCTCCACCACTACCCACACGATGTATCGCGCTGCCGTGGAGGAGCTCTCCATCGATGCATTTGATGCCTCGAGTATGTTTCCCACCCTGAACGCCAATGCTCGGTTACCCTAACACTGGAGCGGGTTCTTTGCTGCAGATAACCACTTCACGTCGGTCGAGGGTTTCCGCTTCGACTGGACGCTCACTCCCTCGCCCAGCCACGTCCTTCAGATCGTCCCGTTCAAGGGTGCAGCGGTGGATGTCAGGAACGTCGTCCTGGAGATGGAGGAGAAGGTATGCGCTTGCCTTATGATCACCACAAAGCGGGCTGTGCCCTGCTTGTTGGCGGTGGGTTAAACTGGCGTTGCGATCTCTCCAGAATCTCAGAACAAGCAGGGTACTGGTGAAGGGTATCGACTTTGGTAAGGTCACCGTCACTGCCAGCCTCAGCGAGGCGGGCTACGGGCGTATCTCTGATACGGTAGAACTGTCTGTGCTGGAGCCCCTTCAGCTTTCGCCCAAGCTTCCCATCTTCATCGCGCCGGGTGCCGAGTATAGATACGTTCTCCAGAGCTACCCTCGGGATCGAGACCCAACAGGTTCGTGCCTGATCACAGTGGCACTTCAACAAGTGTAGGATCCATCTAACGCCTTTACCATGTGTCTCTAGATATCGACATGCCTAACACCAAGTACCAGTGGTCCACGGACAATGGCAGAGTGGCCACTGTTGACAACCTTGGCACTGTGCGGGGCGTGGACCTTGGCCAAACGAAGATTCACGTTAGATATGAGAACATCAACGAGGCTACGGTATGTGTGCTCGTGACGTGTATGCTGCTCGTGAGTGCGGTCCCTATGCTCACCTTGAGCGATACAGGGCACCGTCAACGTCGTGGCCCCGTCAAAGCTCGGTCTGAGGCTTTACGCCGAAACGGACAAGCAAGAGATCATCTCCACTACCACTTCCTGGTACCTTATCGCCAACACCACATATACGCTGGAGGTCGACGTCTACGATGCCCACGATCGTCGCCTGCACAACACCGAGGTAGACTATGCTCTCTATGCGCCGCCTTGTGTGTCCTTCCTTCTCCTCAACTCGTGCTCTTGTGCAGAACATGGTCTTTGCCGTCACGCTCCCCCGTGAGTATTTCTCCGTCGAACAGTCGAGCCAAAACAAGGCACAGCACACGATCCGCGCTCTGAAGGAAGGCAGCACCGTCATCGGCGCCGAGTTGTCCTCCATCAAGGTCTGACCCTCTCCCGCACTCGGTGGCTTGCCTTCTTTCCCTGATTCCAATTCCTCTGTCAGGCCGCCGGTCGCCATTCGTTCAAGGTCCCAGCTGTCCGCAAGGACATAGCGATCCAGTCGGCCGTGCAGGCGATCCCCCGCGAGGTCCGCCTGCCTTGGCATGAAGGCACGCCTCACACGTATGCGCTCAAGGCCACTGGTGGCAGCGACAAGTATATCTGGCTCTCGCTGGACCAGTCCGTCGTATCTGCCAGCCCCTCTGGCGTGCTCACCGTCCACTCGCTCGGAGATGCGACCGTCAGGGTTTCGGACAAGAAAAACCCTCTCAACTACGACCACGTCAAGGTTTGCCCTCCTCATTTTCTACTTCCTTGTGCAATGAACGTAACCTGTCAAGCTGCATCCAGGTGAGCGTGCTTGCTGTTGGCAAGATCGGCATTGTGGCGTCCACGGTGGAGGTCCAGGTGGGCTGGCCTCTCGTGCTGCCCGCCGCGGTGTGGGACAACTCGGGTGTTCTGTTCGACAACTGCAGCGCTCTTCCCATCGAGTGGGAAAGTTCCGATGCGACCGGTACCCAGCCTCTGCCAATCGTGCTGGCGGCCATCGCAATGATTTGCTCATATGAGATGGCCGCTCAGTGTTCGCAAAGCAGGCGTCTGGAGCTAGCGATCTGCCTCCGAATAGCTGCACCGGCCAAGAGTTCTTTGCGCTCGGCGAGGGTCAGTGCACCATTACCATCAAGTATGGCAGGTTCACGAACCAGATAACTGTTTTCGCCTACCGTCCCCTCAAGGTGGTGTCGCCCGAAAAGGACGCCCTTGTGGCGCTCGGTTCGACGGCGCAGATTGTTGTACGTGCCAGCCACGCCCCACTTTCTTCCTTGCACAAGGGCTAAAACCACTCGCACTTCGCAGTTCGAGGGCGGCCCCAAGCCGTGGCTGTACGAGCCTACTGCCTTCTACACGAGCGTTGTGCCTTTGGAGCCCGAGATGGTTAGCGTACCCGATGGCTTTAGATTCCGAGTTGGCGGTGTGCTCACCTCGCTTTTCGTTGCACAGGTTCGCGTCACCCCGAACCCGCAAGGGCTCGGAATTGCGCGCTACAGCTACAGCGTCACCTGTCTGAAGCTCGGCGATGTCAAGCTTGCGATCGAAGTGTCCAACAAGCCTACCAGGACCAACCAGCATCCGGCCTTGGCGAATGCGACCATCGATTTCTCTTGCCAAACGCCTCAGACCGTGTTCGCCTTTGCTGGTACGGTCTCTCCCTTGAGCATGGTGGAGGTGTGTGTGTGTGTGTGTGTGCAAAGTGTTCACTTGGTATGGTCGTGCAGATTACACGCCTGCGAACCAGACGGACTTCGAGGAGCGCAAGCAGCAGTGTCTGGGCGCCCTCAAGCAGACCCCTCCCTTTGAGATGGTGGTCGGTGAGGCGAGCAACCTGTTCGAAGAGTTCATCGTCAAGGGTAACCGCAAGGTCCCGATCACTGTCGCGATGATCAACAAGGACCGGAAGCGGTTCGACGACTTCTCCTCTCTCGTGCTCACCTGGGAAAGCAGCGATGAGGTACCGTCGTTCGACTCCTACGCAGGAACATTTCTTAGAGAATCTTACCCTCTCTCTTCCACGCCACCCTAGACCCTTGCGTCATTCCTCCCCTCGTCGAGTGTGAGCACCCGTGTCCTGCACATCAAGGCTGACTCAGGAGACGTCAACATCCGAGTTGGCGTTCTGGGATACAATGAGCAGGCGCTCAAGGAGGCTTCACCCACGTATGTGACCTCATCGTCTGCGTGTACAACTGGCGCGGTTCTACTCACCATCTCTCCCGCGAGGGTGAAACAGGATTGCGGCTCCGGTGCTCGATAAGCAGGCTCTTAGTCGCTCGTTCACCCTGAGGATTAGATCGAATGTGGAAGTGAACCCGACCAATGTATACCCTGCCTCGAGCTGATTCAATCTGCTTTAAGTCGTGCTGACCTCTGCCTGTGAAAACCTTCTCCTCCAGGTGGCCATCTTCAACGACGACAGCAACACTGTCGAGTTGGTCGCTAGCCGCGGTTCGGGCATCTACAGCTACACCTCGAACAACACCAATGCCGCGACCATTCATCCCAGCGGAAACGCTTCTCGCGCCAGCATTTCTCCCAAGCGCCCGGGCATCGCTAAGGTGCACCATCCCGTATCCGACATCCCCCCAGACAAAGATGCTAAACTATCACTCGTCAGGTGACCGTCAGTGACATTTGCCTCGAGGACTCGACACCCGCGACTTCGATCGTCACCATCTCCGAAGTGGGAACGATCATTCTCGCCGCCCGCGATATGTTGCGCATCAACGACGAGATGGAGGTGCAGGTCGAGATCCGCGATCAGTCTGGCAATCAGTTCCCTGTGGAGCAACTCGGACGAATGGACCTCTCCGCGCATACCGACAATGACATCATCTCTGTGGAGAAGCGGGACGGTCGCTTCCTCGTCCGCGGTACCACAATCCTCTCTACTCAGCGAGCACCCCATCAAGCTAACGGTTTGTTTCGCCCCGTTCCCAGGAAACGGCCTCGGTATCGCCAGAATCACCATTACCGCGAGGACCAAGAACGGACGCACTATCACGAGCCAGCCCAAGGCGGTAACGTTATCTCTCTTTGCCCCCCCCCCACGAAGGACTGAGCAGAGGCCTAATCCATCTCTCGTGTGTGTATTTTGTGCAGATCCACGTCTTCCCCCCTCTGCACATACGCCCGGAGCGATTGGTGTTGCTGCCCGGTGGCGCATACCAGATCAAGTGGAGCGGCGGCCCTCCCGTGCGCGTTGAGGTGGCGTTCTCTGTGGACAATACCAGCGTGTGCGAGGTCGATGCTGCCGGCCGAGTGGTCGCGCGAGAAGTCGGAAGTACCACGCTCGTTGCGTCGGCGCAAGCCACCGACGAGCAGGGCAACCGCCACGACTACGGCTCGACCGTCATCGATGTCACTGTGCGCCCGCTTTCAGGTACCGCTCCACCCCCTTGTGTTGAGAGCGTTTCAATTCCTTACAAGTTTTGCGCTACGTAGGCATCCGCATTCACAGCAACACGAACCGCCTGATCGTTGGCACGGAGATGACCGTTCGCGTGATTGGTCCCGACGGTGAAACGCCGTTCACCCTGGGAGCTGTCGGCATCGCCTTCGGCTGGGAGTCATCCGACCCGAGCGTCGCTGCCATGGTGCCCATCTACAAGGAAGGTAGGCTGCCCCTGACCCTGGCCTCCATCGCCTCAGTGATTGTGGGTTCCTGACCAACCTTTTTTTCTCCATTTCTGTGTAAAGCTGGAGTTTCGCTGGAGAAGGAGCATGGCTTCTCTGTGCGCGTTCAGGCCAAGAAAGCGGGCATTGCTCGCATCAGCGTGTCTGCTGATGGCACCGAGGCCTGGGCGGCGACGCTCCAAGTGGAAGTGGTCGACGGCCTGGTGCTCTTCACGCCGGCGGAGCTGCTGTTGACCCACTCCTCGCGGTTCAACATTCGGACCAACAAGGACGCCACGGGCAAGCTCCATTATCGTCTTCTGAGCGAACAGCCCACGCCCGCCGACTGTCACCAGATCATCGCCATCGGCCACGCCGCTCTCGAGCACATGACTACCAACACTGCGGTCAACCAGGTATGGCGCCGCGAGACTCTTGCCCTGCACGGGAGTGGAAGTTGGACTAATCAAGCACCTCCACGCATCTAGCTCGCCACGATTGAGGAGAGAGGCGACGGCCTCCTCATCACGGGCAACTCCTCCGGAGAAGCCTACATCTTGATCTCGGACGACTCGGAGCATCAGTCTGTCGTCGTCAAGGTGGTCGTTAAGCCCGTGCACCAGCTCCAACTGCTCCCGGCCTCTGTCATCTACGATCAGGTACGCCGTATCTCTTCGCTCTCCACGCAGCAAACGACTGAACTCGCCATTGATCCCTCTGTCTGTTGGCTTTGTACAGCTGCCCGTCGGTGCCCTGATGGACTTCAACATCATTCTGCGAGACAACGAGGGAAGAGCCTTCAGCAGCACCGGCAACTTCGAGTTCAGCTACGACCTCGACGTGATCAACGTCATCAACGTGAGCCCGGGCAAGACCAACGAGTCGATCCAAGTGGAGGCCCTCCGTCCCGGCGAGGCCATCCTTCGTGTGTTCACCAGCACCAAGAGCATTCCTCTCGACGACTACGTCAAGGTCACTTTCTGTTCCCCCCCCTCCCAAGGCCTAGCCCTGCTGTTTGCGTTCAGCTGACATCCGCCTCGTGTTACTGTACATTCTTCAGTTCCACGTGGGCCATGGCATCACCCCTCCCGAGCCGGTGGTTCACAAGGGCGGCAGCATCCATTTCGACCTGACGAGCAAGCCCGAAGGCAGCGGCGGCGGCCTCTGGAGCTCCGAGGACGAGCGGGTCCTTAGGTACGCGCCTGCCCCACCCTGTCGTCGCAGCGTAATTCGCTAATATTTGGCTAACGACCGCATGTGTGGGTGATATGCGCAGCGTGCACCATCAATCGGGTGTGGCTACGGCCCGCAACGTCGGTAAGACGCACGTGTTCTACAACAGCACGGGAGTGCACACGTTCACCGAGGTCACGGTCGAGCAAGTGGGCAAGGTGGTGGTGAAGACCGAGGGCAGCCCCCAGGTGACCAACGTCAAGAACCCCGTGACCGGCGAGGTCGAGGAGTACCGGTTCGGCGTTACCTACTACACGGCCGGCAACAAGCAGCTCAAGTCGAACGTCCGCGTGAAGCACAACATCTTCCTCTCGTGCAGCGTCGTCGAGACCGAGTGGGCCACCGCCTCCTCCGTGCAGGATCTCGCCACCGGTCAAGATTACTGCGTGATCCACCCGCGCACCCCGGCCTCGCTCAAGATCCGGTTCATCGACAGCATTCACTTGATCGTGCGGGTCTCCGACGCCAAGCAGACGTACAACTTTACGCACACCGAGGCTATCGAGTACCTGCCGGCCTTCATCGTCGTCACGCCCACAACGGTACGCCTGAAGCCCTTGCTTGCACGTCGCGCACACCAATATCGCGTCTAACGCTTGTCCACTTGCCCGCGCAGATCACAATCCCCATTGGCAGCAAGTCGGCGCGTCTCGAGGTGCGGACCAAGGCCAACATCCACCTCCGCTCCAGCGACGAGCGCATCAGCGCCAAGAGAATCTCGACCGACCCGAACACCGACAAGATGGTGTACGAGATCAACGCCGAGGACACGCGCAAGGAGCTCCAAAACGTTGTGATCACTCTCGACAACCCGTACACCGGACAGGTTTCGCATCCCCCCCCCGTTCACATTGATTCATGTGATGCATGCGCAACCGATCGTATCAGCTCACGCGCGATTCGTTTCGTTTGTCTCTCCTTATGATGATGATCACAGCAAGAGCATGTGACGGTAAACTATGGCGAGACGGCCCTGGCCACCACCAGCAAGCGGGATACGGAACAGGCCGCGCACCGCTTCCCCTTCCTCCCCGAAGCAGTGGTCCTGCCGCTGCTGACCACCGGCGCCTTGACCGCCCTCGCCGGCCTCGTTTGGGTCGCGCTCTGGATCGCTCGCCGCCTCCGACCTGCCCCGGACACCTACCCGGCCGTACCGACCATGTCCGGCGCATTCCAGACCCCGGGGCCTCGACCCCTGGGACAGCAGACCCCGGGACCGACGCCAGGGTCGGCGTATCCTCAGACCCCGGGCGCATACCTTCAGAGCCCCTTCCAGTCGCTCAGCCCGAGCTCCAGCTACACCCACAGCCTCAGTACGTCTTGGCCTTCTCTGTGTCGTGTGCGTGTGTGTGTGTTCCTAGGCTGACCTGCTCCTCTCTCATTCTCCATTTTAGACTCGCCACTGAGGCCTGTGGCTCCTCGCCGACGAGCGGCTTTCTCGCCGGTCGACAGTCCTTTCCTGGACGGGCGCACGTAGTTGGTTGATCACCAACTTCTCCTCGTCTCGCTCTTGTCTCTTGCCTCTCTGCTTCTCTCTCTCTTTCTTCCTCTTCGTTTAATTTATTTGGTTTCGTGTGCATCGAGTGAGGCTCTCGTCACACAACAGGCCATTCCCCCTCCCAATAAGGACCATCAACTTCATCATGTTACGTGTGGTCTCTTTACAAAATGGAAGTGCGTTGTTGCGTTACATGTTAGTCGCCGAGCAAGTAGTCGGGGACCTTCTTCTTGTTCTTCTTCTTCTCCTTGAACTGCTTCACAGCCTTCTTCGACAGCTTCACCTTCTTGGGTATCGTGCACTGCTGCTGCCACTGCTGTTCGTCGAAGTAGTGCGCGATCTGTCGTCCTGCCGGGTCGTCATATCCCTTGCGCTTGGCCTGGAACCTGATCACGCACACGCACACGCACAACACGACGGCTTAGTGTGCGCCAGGCGGACCCCGAGCCTGCTGGGTTGCCTACCTGCCCGTGCGTGCGTTGAAGGTGCCCACTTGGCTGTAGCCCGCGTCCTCGGCCATCAGTCGAGCCGCCAGCTCTTTGTCGGGGTCGCCCACCGCCGCGGCAGTTGTGGATGCTACGGCAGGGGCGGCAGCAGCACCTGTGGCAGCAACTCCTTGGGCAGCATTGTAATAGTTGGAGTTGTCTTGCTGCGGTTGCTGCCCGTAGTAGTACTGGGCGTAGTAGGTCTCGTAGTAGAGTTGTGGATTAAATTCAGGCCGAGCTGAAAGATCTGTGAATTGTTCCTCCGACTGCCGCTTGACCTGGAGATCGGCCCGCAGCAGGCTGCAGTTCCACCACGTCAGCATCTCCTGCAATGTGAAGGGTCCTCGCTCGGCTCCCGTGTCGTCCAGGTACACCCAGCCCTCCTCTCTCGCCGCCTCTGTCGCCGGCGCATCCTCTGTGGTTGTTGCACGAGGTGCCGTCTCTTCCTTGCTTTCATCTGTTGATGCTTCTACTTCAACGGCCCCACCTGCGGGTGCTGCATCTTCTGGCCGCTCCATCTTATAAAAATATTTATAAAAAGAGTAAAAAAGAAAAGAAAGCAACGGGGAAGGCAAAGAGTTGATGAGGAGGAAATAAACAAACATTTGCCACAACCCTCATGGGGATAGTTGTAACATCATCATCGAGTGTATCTTACAGGAATATGAGGAGAAGAGGAGGCAGAGAGAATGGCGAGGAGAGGCGTTGTGATGTCCGGGAATCGAATCGGCGAGATGAAGTTGCCTTGCAGTGAAGAAAGAAGGGAAGAGGAGAGGTACGCTCTAGAACAGGAGGCACTTCTTCTCCTTCTTGGGCTTGGCGGGTCCGGATGGCTTGTCGGGTCTGCCAATGACTGCTCTGATGGCCTCCTCGAACACCCTCTTCAATCCCTCCTGCGTAAGCGCCGAGCACTCGAAATAGGCCTCCGCGCCGATGTCCTCCGCCATCTTCTTGCCCATGTCGGGTGTTGGCGCCTTCTCTCCCTTGAGGCTTTCCATCGTAGCCTTGTCTTCCCTCAAATCGATCTTGGTGCCCACGAGGATGCATTTGGCGCCTGGGCAGTGGTGGCTGATCTCGGGGTACCACTTGGTCTTGATGTTGTCGAAGCTTGCCGGGGACACGACGGAGAAGCAGAGAAGGAACACATCAGTCTCAGGGTAGCTCAGCGCCCTCAGTCGTGCGTACTCCTCCTGACCAGCTGGAGAGACATGTGCGTGAGCCCACTATCCAACGTTGCCGGGCATTGAGGAGCCCCCCCCCGATCAATAAAATTGAAGGGGAAGGAAGCTTACCAGTATCCCAGAGAGCAAAGTTGATGAGCTTTCCATCAACCTCGACACCGGTCGTGAAGTTGTCGAACACCTGCCCAGCAATGACAAGAGTAAGAATTTTGATTAAGACAAGAGGGTGGCGGTTGGGGACGAACCGTGGGCACGTAGTCGACGGGGAATCTGTTCTCAGTGTAAGAGATAAGAAGCGAGGTCTTACCGACAGCGCCGTCACCTGGTGATGAGAAGTAAGGGTGTAAATGAAAGGCCCATTCACATTGTCTTCTCTTATCTTCTAATCTAAAACCTCCGAAAGGACGGCAAGAGGATAGGTTGATGAATGAAGGATTCAACGTACCGACGACGACGCACTTGACGTTTTGCATGGCCATCTTTGATTATAAAATAATAGCTGACTCGCGGTCTTTCCTGTTCTCTTTCACGCAGCAATGTAATCAATTCGATTCAACGCCGCGGTCGTCTGCGAAATCAACTCTCTGGACGCTGGGCTATTTTGTCTCGTTGCGCAGCGCGAAAGTCTCGTTTCGGCTAACGGCGTACGAATGTAATGCAGAGCCAATGGCCCACGCGGCGGTTCGAAATTGCTGAAATATGAAAGGAATGAAAAGAACGTTGCGATTCTTGGCTTCTTCTGTGCGGACGTTGTTTTGGACGTGGACGGAGACAGGTGGAGAGTGTAGCGGCCGGAGCGATACCCCAGATTTCTTCATTCTGCAACGGATCCGATTTTGTGCGCACATCTCACAAGAATGTCGAAGCGCCAGACTGCTGTGGCCACAAAGAAGAGGAAGATGGAGGACGAGGATCTGCCGCGAGGTGGTGGAAGTGCCGTCACGCCTCTTGAGGTGAGAAAAATTCACAAACAGGCCGATTCCGATTTCCTGTTCGAGATTAAATCGAGCAAGGGCAAGAAGGGTGCCAAGAGCCCCGCCAAGAAGGACACACGAAAGAAGCGCAAGCCGGCGGAAGATGACGAAGATGATGACAAGCCGAAGGACGGCGAAGGTCTTGCCAGCTCCGTGACGGCGTTCAATTTTCCCAAATTCATCGAACCTCTCCGATTCAAGGTGCCTTCTCCGATCCCACCATCTACAGCACCGCGTTGCGGCTCGACAATCATCGTTGAAGTTCCCTATACCATAAACACCACACCCGGAGCTGAAACCATTACCAACCGTGTGGTCGGCGTGAGCGGCCGGAAGGTCGCTCATACGCGCACATGAGTTGCCGCACGAGCCTATGGGCCGACCAAGCCTGCTGCTTATTATTTTTAAGATGCACTTCATCTCACGCCACACCACTTCGTGTTACGCCGCAGAGCTTGGCCCCCGGCACGTCGCTGCTCGGTGCGGTTACCAAGGTCAAGGACTTCAAGATGCACCTCACCTTGCCAAGCGGGCTGACTGGCGTTGTGCCCATCACCGAAGTGACCGACACACTCAGCGAGCTCTTGGCCAGCAAAGTCGACGACGAGGTACAGTCCCCCTTATTCCCCCGATCTGGTAATTACACAACGATGCACTCACAGACGTACGTCGTATGTACGCGATGCACGTGGCCTCTTCTCAGGATGACGTGTTGCCCAAGATGTCTGCCTTCTTCAAGCCGGGCCAGCTCGTTCCGTGTGTGATCAAGGCTCTGGAGGAACGCGAGAAGGGCAACAAGAAGAACGTCGTCCTCTCTCTCCGTCCCTCTCTTCTCAACCAGAATCTGGCCATCGGCAACATCACGCCCGGCATGGTATTGCCACCTAGCCGGTGTTACAACCGAATGTGTTACGCCGTGTACTGACTGGCACCTTCTTCTCTCCCTCACCAAGGCCATCCACGGAAGTGTGAAGAGCGTGGAGGATCACGGTTACATCATCTCCTTTGGAACGAACGAATTTACGGGCTTCTTGGTGAAGGACACCGCTGAGATGACTGAGGGTATATACAAGGCCTTGGCTATATTGTGCTCTCCCTTCCAGCATGGCCATGCTGACCGTCACTTCTTTTGCTTCTTATTAGACGAGGAATCTCAGACTGCTCAGTTCGTTGTCGGCCAGCCCGTGGCTTGCGTGGTGGATTCGGTCAAGCGGGAGAACAACACTGTCACAGTTCACTACGACCCGGACAAATTCAGCACGGCTGTTACCAAGGACAACAACGTCTTCACCATTCAGACGCTCAAGGCCGGCATGCTCATCAACGCTCAGGTACTGTTGCAAGCGCCATTCGGCTACCACCCGGCATTGCGGCTAACCGTAGTCTCGCTTGTTGGAACATGCAGGTCAAGAAGGTCTACAAGCAAGGCCTCTTCCTTCAGTTCCTGGGCTACTTCGGTGGTACTGTGAGCAGCCAGCACCTTGGCTGTCCGCTGTCCAAGCTGAGCGCGAATTACCCCGAGGGCAAGAAGGTTTGTCCCCGTGTTGAGCGCTCCCGTGTGCACGCGCTCGCGATCATCTAACATTGCTCGCAATCACCGCCTCAGGTGCTGGGCCGCATCGTGCACGTCGACTACGAGAACAAGATGGCCTCGTTCAGCTTGCTTCCGCACATCGTCAAGTACCAGGCCTACGAATTCCCCGAGGCTGTGCACATCGGCCAGCGTTTCGAGGCGGCCAAGGTCACCATGGTGGACAAGCGCAACGGCCTGTTCCTCGAGCTTCCCACAGAGCCCGCCCAAGCGGCCTTCGTTCCCGTATGTTACATCGCCTTTCTTTTCCCCCTCGGCGAGGCATTAGCGAGGCGCTGACCCGAAACCTTTACCTCTTGGCAGGCGACGCTGGTTTCGGACGAGTCCGAAGAGAACCTGAAGAAGTATCGTATGGGGCGAGAGGTCGTCTGCCGTGTGGTGAGCCGCGACCCCTTGGAGGGTGTGGTCACCGTTGCCATGAAGCAGTCGATCCTCGACCTCGCCTTCCTGCGCCGCGAGGACATCCCCATCGGCAAGAAGCTGAAGGTACGCATTCCGCTGAGAAAAAGTCACCCACGCGCCATTGTGAATCAACAACGGGACAAGTGAGTCTCACCAAACGCTGTCGTTTCGTTCGCCGCAGGGAACCATACTGGAGCTGGTGCCCAAGGGCATGGTGATTTCTCTCACCAAGTCCATCAGGGCCTTCTGCCCCTCGTCCCAGATGTCCGACATCACCCAGCTACAGAACCCTGCTGCCCACTTCAAGATTGGTGATACGATCAAGTGCAAGGTATGAATGACCTCACTTCTCACATCCTTCACCGGGACCACGTCTAAGCGATGCGTTCTCTCTCTCGATGCTACGTGCGTGCAGGCACTCTCCGTGGACCCGGTCGCCGGCAGGGTGATCGTGACCTGCAAGAAGTCGCTCGTCTCCTCTGACCTGCCGGTGATCACTTCGTTCGAGGACGCCGAGCCCGGCGTGCAGTCGCACGGCTACATCTCGTCGGTCAAGGTTCGTGCTCTCCTCCCTCGTTGCACATGGCCAACTTAGCTAACCTGCGTTTTTAGGAATACGGCGTGTTCGTCACTTTCTTCAACGGCGTCACGGGTCTGGTCGGGCTGAGCCAGCTGAGCAACAACTTTGTGGACAACCCCGAGAAGGTCTACACGGCCGGCCAGGTCGTCAAGTGCCACGTCCTCACGTGCGACGCCCAGAAGAAGCGAATCTCGCTCTCCTTTTTGGTACCATTCGCCGTCACACTCACTCGAGTGCTGGCAGTCGCTCACTCCCCGATCCATGCGCATGCACAGAAAAAGCAAAAGCAGGAGGTTCTCGAGAATGAGGCTTACAACTGGAACGAGCTCAAAGTCGGAAGCGTACGTCGATGAATCCTTCCCTCGGCTCGGCGTGATCGCGTTCGCGTTTTAACGTTTGTGACGAACGAACGACTACAGATGGTCAGCGGCACGGTCAAGTACCTGGTGGACGGCGCTGTCCGTGTTGAGCTGAGCGGCGGAATCGCCGGCGTTCTTCCCAACCCGCACCTCTCCGACCATGTCGGTCACTGCGAAGCGATCAGGGCCACCCTCTCGAAGGGGTCGGTGCTGAAGGAGATGCTCGTGTGGAGCAAGAACGAAGCGCAGAAGAGGATCACCCTCTCGTGCAAGCCCAGCCTCATCGAAGCCGCCAAGTCCGGCCAACTCCTTCAAGCCAGGGAGGACTTCACGAGCGGCACGCTCTCGACCGTACGTGCTGCCTCCGCGCCACTTGCGTGCGAACACTATAAGGCAGTGGCTCACATTGTTGGCATTCCAAACACAGGGAATAATTCGCGGTATTGAGACCTTTGGTTGCTTCGTCGAGTTCGCGAACTCCATCGCCGGTCTCGCCTACGTGACGAACCTGGTGGACGGCCCGCTCGACGACCTCAAGACGCGCTTCACCGTGGGCCAGACGGTCCGGGCGCGCGTCGTCGACAGCACGGGCGATAAGCTCAGCCTCACCCTGAAGCCCTCGCAGTGCGGCCCCAACACCTCGATCTCCTTCCTCCAGTCCTACTTCAAGGAGGAGGAGGCCATCGCCAGCTCCAAGCCCGAGGGTGCCGCGCCCAAGCCGAAGGTGAACTGGTCGGCCTTTGAGATCGGCTCGTCCGTCGAGGCCACCATCAAGATCCTCAAGGACTTTGGTGCCGTGCTCACCTTTGCCGACCCCAACGTCACCGGTTTCGCCGTCAAGGACCAGATTCCCGTACGTGCTTACCTCTCCAACCACCCCGCTTTCCTCTTTGCTCAGCAGCACCTTGCGATTCATGTTCTCACTCATTCCTTCCCGCTCGATCGATTGTAGGAAGACAACGAGGAGCTGACCGAGGGGGCCAAGGTCAAGGCCGTGGTGCTGGACATCGACAAGCAGCGCTACATCATCGACGTGTCGCTCCAGCCGGAGCTGATCAGCGCCGCGCTCCCTGCCAGCTCGCAGCCCGCGAAGAAGACCGCCAAGCGCAAGTCCAAGGGCAGCAACGAGGCCGAGGGGCTCAAGGTGGGCGATGAGGTGGAGAGCAGGGTGGAGCTGATCAAGGGCTCCTACCTCGTCGTCTCCGTTCCGTCGACCAAGCCGGGCGTCCACGTCGGCTACGTCGCCACCAAGGACTGCAACACTCAGCACACCGACCCCTTCTCCAAGTTCATCATCCACGAGAAGTGCAAGGCCATCGTCAAGGAGGTGCGTTTACCGTTCCGCCCATCCATCCATCCATCCACCCATCAATCAAACCTCTCCTGACCCACTCCGTCCTCGCGCAGATTCCCTCGACGCCCAACAGCCGTATGCTGTTGCTGCTGTCCAAGATCGAGAAGGAGGAGGACAAGAAGAAGAAGAATCGTGCGTTGCTGCTCTCAAGCCTCCTTTTCCAAACATCAACGACATCGCGTGTGCTAACTGAACAGTGCTTTCCCCCTCTTCCAGCCGCCATCGACGTCACCGACTTGAAGGCCGGCAACATTGTCAAGGCCAAGATCACCTCCGTTCTGCCCACCCAGCTCAACGTCTCCCTGGGCTCGCACATCCGAGGTGCCCTTTTGTCTCTCTCTCTCTCTCTCTTCGCCACTGGCGCGAATGAACATGCATCGCTAATGTTCATTTCCCTCCGCTGATCTCAGGCCGCGTCCACATTACGGAGATTGCTGATGACATCTCCCAGCTGAACGGTCACGCCAACCCTCTGCTAAAGTACACGGTGCGTTCGCCCTTCATGCTCAGCAATAGAACGTCGTTGAGCTCAAACATTCGGGGCTGGGTGTTTTTGGCGTAGATCGGGGACCACATCGAGGGCAAGGTGCTGGACGTCGTGCTGAGGGCCAAGCACAGGCTGCTGCCCATCTCGCACCAGAACCCGGTCACCTCCCGCTCCGTGGATCTCAGCCTCCGTCCGGCGGATCTCGCCCTCGGCGAGGGCCAAGCCGCCCCGCGCAGGACGCTCGAGACTCTCAGCGTGGTACGCCCTTCGGAAGCGCTCTTCTTGGCACCGTCGGACCGTGCACTGACCTCAATTCGGTGGGGTGTTTGTTTTCACTCAGGGTGAAAAACTGCTGGGCGTTGTGGACAGAGTGACCCCTGACGGCGTGTGGGTGTCCGTCACCTGCATCCTGAAGGGACGCGTCTTCATCTTGGACATGTCCGACAGCGCCAAGGACATTCGTGACCTTTCCGGTTCGTGTCCTGCACCCGCCCGGCCACGAGCGCGTCGCTGTCCACTTACATTCACTCACTCTTTGAATTTGCTCTACGCCCCCCCCCCACAGAGAAGTACGCGGTTGGAACCGCCGTTACGTGCTACGTCAAGCACGTGGACACACAGAAGAAGGCCCTCGATTTGACGCTCGTTCCCAACGTACGCCCATCAACGTTGTTCTCTCTCTCTCTCTATGTGTGTAGTGAAGGGAGTCTTGACATCACCACCCACGCACTCACTACAGAAGGGCACCGAGATCAAGCCGGGAACCGTCGTTCTGGGCCGCATCTCCAAGATCCTGCCGGGCGTCGGTGTCAACATGCAGCTCTCGCCCCACACCTACGGACGCGTGTTCATCACCGACATCGCCGACGACTACACCGAGAACCCGCTTGCAGACCTCAAGGAAGGCGACGTCAGAGAGTGCTACGTCCTGGGTGCCAAGGGCAACAAGGTCGATCTGTCCCTCCGTCCCTCTCGCGTCAACAACCTGCAAGTGCCCAAGGAGGTCCGTATTTCTACGCTCTCGCTTGATCGCATCAAAGGGGGCTAACCTTTCATTTGTGTGACGTTGGTCAACGGCTGCAGCAACTCGCATTCCCCGAGATCGAGTCGGTTGCCGACCTCGCCGTGGGCAAGATGGTCCGTGGCTACGTCACGGAGACCTCCACTAGCGCGGTCTTTGTGGCGCTCAACAGGTCGCTCAGCGCCCGTATCACGCGACGCGAGCTCGGCCAGTCGCCCGTCAAGAAGATCGGCGTGGCCTTCCCCGTGGGCAAGCTGGTCGAGGCCAAGGTCAAGTCCATCGGCAAGAGGAAGAGTGCGTCATCATTTCTCATTTCTCATTTCTCTTTTCTTTTCCCTTTTGCTCACCTTCGCGTCTCTCTCTCTGAAATGCAGAGAACGAAGCCAAGATCGAGCTGACACTGGGCACGCGGGGCTCGAAGAAGCTCGCATTCGGTGACCTCAAGGAGGGAATGAAGGTCAAGGCCACGATCCAGAGCGTCAAGGAGAAGAACCTGCTGGTGCAGATCAAGCGCAGCAAGCTGATCGGCATGTGCCGCATCTCGGAGCTGTCCGACGACTTCGTCGACCACCCGGCCAAGTACTACAAGGAAGGCGACGCCGTGAAGGCGCTGGTGATCAAGATCGATCCGGAGCGACAGCGCTTCGAGGTCTCGCTCAAGCCGTCCCACTTCGAGGGCGACATCGACTCGAGCGACGAGGAGACCGCCAAGCCCAAGAAGCAGCGCAAGAGCAAGAAGGCCAAGAAGCAGCTCGACGACTCCGCGGACAGCATGCTGCAGGACAGCGACGACGAAGACGAAGAGAACCTTCTTGTCGTGTCCAAGAGCGACTCTGAGGCCGAGGAGGCCGAGGAGGACGAGGAAGAGGAGGAAGATGGCGACGAGATGAAGGTCGAGGGCCTGGCGCCGGTTGGGTTCGACTGGGGCGATGCCACGCCAACCAAGGCGGAGCCCATCGAGTCCAAGAAGAGGAAGAGGAGCGCCAAGGCGGCGGACGACGACGAGGCCAAGGAGAACGAGGAGGAGATCGAGCTCGAGGAAAAGAAGGGCAAGAAGAAGCGCGCCAAGAAGGCGCAGCAGGCTGCCGAAGAGGAGGAGCTCGCGGCCAAGGAGGAGGAGCTCCTGGCCGAGGCCCTCCCCAAGACGGCCGACGACTACGAGAAGCTGCTCCTCGCCTCCCCCAACTCCTCCTTCCTGTGGATCAAGTACATGGCCTTCCAGGTACACTTCGACCACCACCACTTCCACAACAGAGCCATCTCATCTCTGCGCGGTGCTTCGGTCTAATTCTTCTTCTTCTGCGCGAACAGCTGTCTATTGCGGAGATCGACAGGGCCAGGGAGATCGCCGAGCGGGCGCTCAAGCGGATCAACTTCCGCGAGGAGCAGGAGAAGCTCAACGTGTGGGTCGCCCTGATGAACCTGGAGAACAAGCACGGCTCCAACGAGTCGCTCATGCAGGTCTTCCAGCGCGCCCTCACCTACAACGACCCCAAGACCGTCAACCTCCAGCTCGTCGGCATCTACGAGCGCAGCGAACAGTACAAGGTGCGCGTGCGTTGTGTGCGTGTTGTGTGTGTGTGGTGTCCTCGATGATCACGCTGTCTAACGAATGGTGATCTCTTGTTTTGTGTTGCTCGACAACAGCTGGCCGAAGAGCTCTACAAGGCGATGACCAAGAAGTTCAAGCACAGCTGGCAGATCTGGCTCCGCTACTCGCAGTTCCACCTCAAGAACCTCCACTCCATCGAGGGCGCTCGCAAGGTCCTCGAGCGTGCCCTCCAGGTGCTCCCCAAGAAGAAGCGTACGTGTCCCGTCTTCTTGTGTGTCCTCGTCATAATCAAATGTCATAGTGTCTTGTCATATGCTGACATCGACAGCGATGATGGCGGTGGTGGTGTGGCAACGCAGACATTGGCGTGATCTCGAAGATGGCGCAGATGGAGTTCAAGCACGGATCGCCGGAGCGAGGAAGGACGATCTTCGAGGGCATTCTGAGCAACTACCCCAAGCGAGTCGACATCTGGGGCATCTACATCGACATGGAGCTCGCCCTGGGCGACCACGGGGCCATCCGCAACCTGTTCGAGAAGGTGACCACCCTCCAGCTGTCGTCCAAGAAGATGCGCTACTTCTTCGAGCGCTACCTCAAGTTCGAGAAGGAGCACGGCACCAAGGAATCGGTCGGCCACGTGCGCGAGAAGGCCCGCCAGTACGTCCTCTCCAAGTCGCAAGAGTAGGGCTGACGTGGCACCGGGCACCACGTCCTCCACGCCACTCTGGTAAACAGCACCATTTTTGGGTAAATAAATAAATAAATAAAAACAACAACGAAGAACGAAGACGAACACACGCTCGCACCACGCACCTTGTCGGCAAGTGCTTTCCCCAGCACCCTGCGCGCACTCCTTCAAAGAGCCGCCAAACACAGAAAGGAAAGAGCAAGCTTAGAGAAAACACAAGGAAAAACAGAAAGATGCCTTTTCTTTGTGCTTGCGCCACATCTGATGCAGAGACCAGGCATACTGCGGGGCCAGTACCGGATCTATGTGTTGGTGGGGGTCACCTTTGTCGTGTCCTTCATCCTGTTCGAGCTCGCCACTTACGGCTCGCTTATCTTGGACGACTATCACCACCCGCCCGTCATCAAGGGCTCGCCCACGCCGACACCTCTCACGACTGTCCGTGGCCTCTCTCCTGAGCGTACGCTCCCCAATCACCAGATGATCAAATGACATAACATTAAACTGCATAAAAATAACACATTTTCTCCGATGTAGAGCGGGAACGGTGGGAGGCATCGGGCCTCAAGTGCGCCGGCTCGGGCGTGCAGCTGACGCTGGCTCGTATCAACGACGACTACTGCGATTGTGCTGATGGCACCGATGAGCCAGGTATTCACCCCACTCAGAAGCTTCTTCCAGCTTTGGTGATGGCTCTGACTCTGTCTGGCCGACTCTGCGCCAGGTACGAGCGCGTGTGCGAACGGACGGTTCTGGTGCGCGGGAGAGCAGCACCACATGCCGAGCAGCATGGTGGACGACGGCATCTGCGATTGCTGCGACGGATCGGATGAGGCGAGGCGACGATGTCCCAACACCTGCGCCTCGTACCATCCGCCCGCCCCTGATGACGATGGCGGTGACAACCTTGATGGCGCCCACAAGGTACTACTTTCCACCGACAGACAATGCGTTGCTGTGTTGCCTTTTGAAGCTCATTCATCGCTCTCTCGGCACAGAGCAAGCCGCACGAGAGCATAGGCTACTCCTTCCTCGTCATATGCCTGTGGTTGTTCATACTCTGCCACCTCTTCGCGATTGTACTGCTCCTCATCTCCTCCTCTTGTCGATGGAGAATCTCACCTTCGTCGTGCATCGTGCGCAGTTGGGAGGCCTTTGGTACCTTGCCTCGCCAGCTCGACGAGACCACGCCCTCTAGAGCTGCAAGGAAGAAGAAGACGAAGAGAGCAAGCCTATGCAAGCGCGGGCATCGCTGTACATAGTATGTATCATATTATTTCATCTTCTTCTTGTTCTTCATCTTCGACGAGGATCGCTTGCTTCGCGCTACGTCGTCCGTGGTCGAGGTGGAGGTGTCCCCGCGGGCGAGGAAGAAGAGGCCAGCGATGATGAAGGCTGAGCCGAGCCACCACGCCGCCGGCAGAGGTTCGGAGAAGAGGAGGTGGCCGAGAAGGGCGCTGGAGAAGAAGTTGGTGGCCGAGTTCACCACGGTGGCGGTCACGGACGACGAGAGGTTCATCGATTTCACAAAGAAGAAGTTCCACATGATCATGTTGCACACGAACACCATCCCGAAGCACGCTGCCCTCAGCGCCGCTCCGGCATACTCATCCACCACCGTCGTCATCGTTGTGGTGCTGTGGCAGAATTCCACAAATCGTAGGATCCACACGCCATCCATCGCCAGTTTGCCAAACACCGACGCCAGCCCCGCGCATGTGCCTGCCAGTGTCGATAGCACGAAGCCCCACCAAGCCACCTCCTTCTTCTTCTGCTGCCGTGTCATCTTTCGATTGAAAATAAACAAGAAAAAGAAAGTGCTCGAAAGTGTTTTTCTTTTGATTAATCAAACAAATTGAAGATGGGAGATGGAGCACGAACAGTGTCGGCGTTTCCGCCGCCCCCACCCTACTTCAAACTTTACACAGATGAGCGAGTGGCAGCGGGGGTGGCACCGCCCCCGCCGCCGGTGATCGAGGGCACGTATTCGATGTTCGGACGACCCCTCGCCACGCAGGAGGTGGAAGACAGCCTCGAGAACCACCCGGGGCGGGTGCAGCTCTACCCGCGAGGCGAGATTAACCACAGACGAGAGCTCAAGAAGCTCAATCACTCGATTCTACACAACTACCTGGAGCTGCTCAACACGCTGGTCACGAATCCGCACGAGTACACCTTCCACGACAAGGTGGCCGATCTCGAGCAGCTCTTCGTCAATCTCCACTTCCTGCTCAACGCCTTCCGACCGCACCAGGCTCGCGAGACTCTCATCTCCATCCTCGCCGAGCAGCTCGACAAGCTACAGGCCCTCACCCTCGCCACCAAGAACGCCTTCCACGGCGTGTCCACCCTCCTCCACGACTCCCTACACGCTCTCGCCATCGCCTCCCACCACCACCACGACGGCGACCAGACCGCAGCTGCTGACGGTGCGGCCGCGACCACCACCGAGCAGGTCCTTGCGACGACGGAAGCCGAGAAGGGAGAGGAGCTCGAGCTGGAGCCGGACGTGGTGGCCGCCAAGGAAGAGGCTCGCCTGGAGGCCGAGATGGACCGACTACTGGGCCAGATCAGCGATAGCCACCACCCCTCCTGATGATCAACCGATGAATGAATGCAACCACACCATCGACCCCTTCAACCACACCATCGACGCCGGCCACGCCCACCGAGTCGGTGATAAATAAGGGGTCTCTTGGATTGAGTTGGGATTTACATGGTGTCAGCTGCCGGCCTGTCGTTGCTGTCTGGCCCGTTGCCGTTTATGCCCGCAGGGCTGATTGAACAGGCGAAGAGGACCATGGTCAGGGCCATGATGTGGCGCGCGCGCGTGGATGGGTGTGTGGGTGGGTGTACCTGGAGTGGCTTCGGACAATAGCGTTGCTCTTTGAGAGGCCCAACGACGATGGGCTGGAGGCGGGCGAGGGGATGTGGAACGTGGGCGCAGACGTCGGCGTCGTCGACAGCGACGAGGGCGGAGTGGAAACGGGCGAGGGCGCTGGCGACACGTGGGCTCGCTTCCAAGTCGCCCGCCTTGCCCCGCTGTCTGACCGATCCGGCCTGCAATCGCACACAGAGAGCACGACACGACACGACACGACACGACACACGCCTTGAGAATTTAACGAAGCCGCGGGGCGGTGGGGGGGGGAAGAAGAGACGAACATGCGAGACGCGGCGAGAAAGCTTTGTCGGCTGCCTGTGCTGCCGCGGTAGTTGTCGTCGCTGCTGACGCTGACCCGAATCGAAGAGAAGCCGCCGCGTGCGGTCGGCGTTGTCGTAGACGTGGCGGTGGTGGCGGTGGTCGTCGATTTCCGCTCAGGCGCCTCCACCGCTGCCTTCGTGGCGCTCTCCTTCCTCTTCTTTTCCTCCTCCCGCCATTTTCGAAGCAGCTCCAGGCTCTCCTGCTCGTCAATATCCTACCCACCCACACACTTACCATTTTAGCTCCGTCGTGTGCGTGTGTGTCGTGTGTGTCGTGTGTGCGGTCGTGTCGCATACCTTTTTGGTCTTTTCGGTGTGTTCGCGGATCATCTCGTGTACGGCTGAGATCTCGCTTCGGGTGATGTTGCCGTACTCGTACATGGTGAACCGCGTGTGCGCCGGCCGCATCCGCTGCGACGTGCGCGCCTCCCCGGAACTGACCGCCGCCCTCTCCGTGTCGGGGCTCTTCCCGGTGATGCCGCGGTCGAACACACCGTTGTCAATTTGGGCCGCGCCGCGCTGTTCGATGAACATGCTGAACATCTGCGTCTCGGTGATGAGCTCCAGCAGCGGCCGGGTCTCCTTGACCGCATTCTCGAGAAAGCCCTCTCTGTTGAACTCGGGAAACGAGCCCTCGTCTGCGTGCGTGCCACACACGCAACACACGCAACACACTTGTGGTCAGGGACTATGCGCGCTAGGCGTCTAGATCAATGAAGATTTGCATGATGACCCTACCAGCGCTACCGGGAGAGATGACGATGTAGTCGCGATACGACGCGAGCAAATCGACCATGAACCCGATGAACGCATTCGACAGCGCTGCCGTGCTGTCCTTCGGCAACTGTACACACAACACACAACACACACGACAGACACACACACAACAAAATCAGTGTGAACGCCACCACCAACGTGCGGCGAGGTGGGAACCTTGCGGTTGGAATTGCTGGAGAGGTTGGTGAGGGTCATTCGGTTGCGCGTCCGCTTGCTGACGTCCTCGATGGTGGCGCGCAGGGGTGCGACGAAGGGCGGCAGGAGCGCGGCGTCGGTGTCCTGAGAGCCCGGTGGGATCACGCGGTCGTCGTCGAGGTCCACGATCACCACGTCCTCCATGTTGCGCGACATCTCCTGCAGCTCCTCCACACTACTCCGAAGCACCCCCACCACTGTGTGCCACACGGCGCATGGTCCACTCGTGAGACCCACCGCACGCACGCACGCACGGAAACACACGCGCACGCACTACCGCACGCACGCACGAACACACCGCACGCGCACGAGGCGATGTTTGGACGTACCGAAGGGCATCGGGGCACAGCAGAAGGAGAGGAGGGAGGCGGGGAGGACCGGGATGAACACGTGCTGCCAGCTGAACGGATACAAAATCTGTGACAAGACACCCAAGACCAGGAGAGGTGAGGCCCCAGGCAAACAACAACGACGACAGCGCTGAATGATGATGACGATGACGATCATAACGATGGCGATGACGATGATGGTGACGGTGATGATGGTGGTGGTGGACGAAAGAGTCGGATGGTGATGGGGTACCGCTACGCAGGCTTGTACGCAGGCGGAGAGGGTGCTGACGCGTTCGGAGATGAAGATGATGCGGCGTTCGACGAGCAGCGAGGCGAAGGCGGCGAGGATGTTGTCGGGGGAGAGGAGGGTCACGAGCGGGCGGAAGTTGACGTGGTCGAGCAGCGAGTCGGAGTCGTCCGGCCGGCGGAAGGTGTAGTGCTCGGTCTTGGCCTTCTTCGCGGCGCTGCTGGTGGCCGGGTACTCGACGGTGAACTGCAGCGTGCCGCCCGGCTGCGGCAGCGGCTGCTCGTAAATCGCACGCAGGAACATCGTGCACGCACTGAACGGCATTCCTAGCACCGCACACACGCACACACAAGATGAGCAGCGCCCACACGCATCCTGAAAAAGATGAAATAGAGATGAAGAGATGGAGAGAGATTGAAGGAGGTGGTGGTGGTGTAGTACCAGGAGGAGCGTTCTGGTGGAGCTTGATTACTTTTTTGAGGATTTTGGAGAAGATGCTGAAGCAGGGGAGGTAGCTGACGATGCAGAAGCATTGGGGGAAGACGCGGTGGCAGTAGCCCCAGCGCTTCTCGCCGTTGGACTCGGTCAGCACGAAGGAGAAGATCTCCTCCTGCTTGGACTTCATCTTGTCGAGGCACGAATCGGGGAAGCAGAATTGCGTCACGGCCTTCATGAAGCTCGGCGGGTAGGGGAAATGGAACTTCACGTAGGGCGGGTTCTTCGATGCGTCGGACGCGGCCTTGACGGCGTTCACCCCCACCACCAGCACGCAATCGAACAAACGCTTCTGCTGCGCCATCTTCGCTCCCCCCGCCAGCATCGCATTTTCATTCCTTTCATTGTCAATTCCATTTCCAATTAGAGCGTCGCTGCTCGATTGTGACGAGGCGATGCTGGCGTGAGGCGGCCCGGCGAGAAGGGGATCGAGAACGAGTCCTGCAGGAACAGACCCGGACGAGTCTGACTCTGTGTCTCTGGCCAAGCTTCGAGGGCTGGCGAGGATGGCCGATTGGTGCAGACGGTGCGGGACCGATGCCGTCGCGCGAAATACCTGCATTTGCGCCCGCTTGGCCTCCACCCCGGCTTCCATCTTCAGCGCTCTCTCGCACTTGCTCCCTCTTCGATCTTCTTCTCTCTTATTGATTGTCCACGTGCTGGAACGCGGCCTTTTTTTTTATTGCCCAAAGCCGAACATTCCATGGCTAATTCCACAACCAAATGTCCCCGATCAATCAAACAGAAACGGATGAAATTTCTACATTTCTCGAGGTTTCTTATTTTTTTGTCCGCGGCACAGTGTGGGGCACTACAAAACAGCAACTGAGAAGGCGAGAACCTCAACAACCACAGAGAGCACAATGGAAGGAGAGATGAACGCAAGCAACAAGCCGGACCTCAAGCGCTCGCTGACCGCGGCGCGCGGTCATTACCGCAATCAGCAAAAGCCCCAACACACTCTCAGTGACCTCGGTGCCTTCCCTCCCACCACCATGAAGGTACTCCCCCTCTCCATCCTTGAGTGCCACTCAATCTATTCACCCCCCCCCCCAAAGCGTTACCTCGCTGTTAAATAAAATATGATTATCTGTATATCGTTATTTTTTTAGTTATTATTGAAACCTTATTTTGTTGGGCGTGCGGTGCAGACCAAGATCGTGTGTACGTTGGGTCCGGCCTCGTCATCGGAGGAGGTCCTGCGGGAGCTGATCCTGGCGGGCATGGACATGGTGCGCCTCAACTTCTCCCACGGCACCCACGAGGAAATGGAGGCCATCTTCTCCACCGTTCGACGCATCTCCTCCGAGTTCTCCGAGCAGGTACCCTCTACCCTCCACTTCCCTCCTTCCTTGGCACCATACCCTAAGCACGCGTGCGGTGTGTGCGGTCGTGCGTGCGGTGTGTGCGTGCGTGTGTGTGCGTGTGTGTGTGTGTGTGTGCGTGTGGTGTGTGTGGAATGTGTGCGCAGGTGTCGATCCTGTGCGATATCCAGGGACCCAAGATCCGCACGGGGAAGGTTAAGGAGGCGTTCAACGTGGACGTGGGCGACCACATCGACGTGACGGCCGACAGCGTGCTCGGTACGCCTGAGTGCGTGCAGATCAAGTACCCGCACATGATGGAGGACCTCGATGTGGGCGACAAGATCTTCATCAACGACGGCATCGTCAAGCTGCGGGTGGAGGCCAAGAAGGCCCGCAGTCTCGCGTGCGTGGTCGAGGCCGGCGGCCAGATCTCGGACCACAAGGGCTGCAACATCCCCAAGGGCAAGCTCTCCCTCAACATCATCACCGAGAAGGACAAGGTGCGCCGCCTCTTTCGCTCTTTATTCTTCGTTCTTTGGCCCGATCTCAAACGCTCGCGGCGGTGTTGTGTGGTTGGTTCGGTCCACAGAAAGACCTGGAGCTGATCGCGAAGTTGAACCCCGAGTACGTGGCCGCCTCGTTCATCGGCAACGGCGCAGACGTGGAGAAGGTGCGAAGCTGTCTGCGGGACTTTGGCAACACGGACGTCAAGATCATGGCCAAGGTGGAGAGGCCGGGCGCCCTGGACTGCATCGACGAAATCATCAGCGCCTCCGACGCCATTATGGTCGCCCGCGGTGACCTGGGCGTGGAGATCCCGACGTGGGGCGTGCCCGCCGCGCAGAAGGACATCGTGCGCAAGTGCAACAGGGAGGGCAAGCCCGTGATCGTCGCCACCCAGGTACGAGCACTCATGACCCAGCGGCCGCACCGGCGGTGGTGGTCTCACATATCTGTGGCGGGGGCGGACAGATGCTGGAGTCGATGACTCTCGCGCAGCGCCCCACCCGCGCCGAGGCCAGCGACGTATTCAACGCCGTGCTCGACGGCGCCGACGCTGTGATGCTCTCCGGCGAGACTTCGGTCGGCAAGTTCCCCGTCATCTGCGTCAAGGTACCACCATCTCCATCACCATCACCATCACAACCTCTGCGCTGTGCTAATCACACACACACACACACGACACACACGACACACACGACACACACGACACACACAATGCCAGACAATGGACTCGATCGTGGGGGAGGCGGAGCGATTTATGGAGAGTCGCAACCCGGACCACTACGACTCGGCGAACCCGGGCAATGCCGAGCTGATGGGCCACGGCTGCTTCACCATGGCCAAGCAGTTCAACGCCCAGGGCATCTCCGGCAAGATCGTCACCATCGCCACCACCGGCTACAGGTACCGTCGTGTGTGTGCGTGTGCGTGCGTGCGTGTGTGGTCTCACGCTCTGGTGCACCGCCACCCATCTCCTCAGCACGCGCATGGTGTCCAAGTACCGCCCCAACATTCCGATCCTGGCGTTCACGGCCAACCTGAGGGCGGCCCGCGAGCTCAACGTCGTGTGGGGCGTCCAGAGCATCTACTCCCCGCTGGTCACTGGCGACTCAGTCGAAGAAAAGGCCCGCAACGCCATCAAGATGGTACCCCTCCCAGAAGCGCGTCTCGTGTTGCGCGTGCGGCATTGCGTGTGTGACTCGCCAGCTGCTGACGTTTTGGGTTCATTGGCGCTGTCAGGGGCTGGATCTGGACCTGATCGACAAGAACGACCACGTGATCGTGGTGGCCAGTTCCCACCTGGCGCCCAGCAGCGGCGTCTTCTCGGGCATCTACAGCGTCAATGACCTCCTCGCCGAAGCGCCCGACACCACGCACTAGGTAACGAGGCCTTGGTGGCACGACAAGAAGACAAAAAAAGAGAACGTGAATATGAGTTGAATATTAAAATTAAAATACAGTAAACTCGCGGAGTGGTGTTGGTGTTGGTGGTGCGGGGTGATGCATGTTGACGTTGTTGCTCACGGGTGGACGGCGGTGTCGTCGTTGTCCTCCTTGTTGCGCGACTCGGTGTCGGCGAGGGAGGCCTCCCACGAGAAGTCCTTGAAGTAGGTCGACGCCGCCACGGAGTCGGGCGAGAGCGACGATCGGCAATCCACCCGCTCGCTCACCACCAACGGGTCCTCGGCCGCCGACGGCCGCACTTGCTCCTGTGTGCCCACACTCGCGCTCAGCAAGAAGAACGGAAGCGAAAGCGACGGGAAAAAGAGTGCAAGGGGCCAAAGAACGAAAGCGAAGAAAGAGAGAAGGGAGTACCTCGACGCGGGGCTTGAAGGGCGGCTTCACCTCGCGGCGGGAGTAGGCGTCCCAGTCGACGTTGGCGAAGAAGGGGTGCTTCTTGACGCCCGCCACGCCCGTCGGACCGGAGCCCAGCCGGTCCTCGGGTCGCCGCGTGAGCAGGGCCTTCACCAGGCTCTCCGCCTCCAGCGACATATACTCCGGACACTCCACCGTGCCCTGTCATGTGTGCGTGTGCGCGTTTCGTCAGCGTGTGCGGTGGTGCGTGCGTGTGCGTGAGTGTGTGCGTGTGCGGTTGTGCGTGTGATTGTGTACCTTGATGGTCTTGAGGTACATGGTGTTGCGGTTCTTGGAGTAGAAGGGCGGCTTGCCGGTGAGCATTTCGAAGAGGAGGATGCCGCAGGACCACCAGTCGACGGCCTTGCCGTGGCCGATCCCGGTGATGATCTCCGGCGCCAGGTACTCGGGGGTCCCGCAGAAGGTGCGCGCCGTCTGCCCGTCGCCCTGCCCGCCCACGCTCGTGATGCCCGTCTTCGACAGCCCTGGTTCGCCCTCATATGAGCCACCAGGTTTGCGGTGTGTGCGGTGTGTGCGGTGTGTGGTACCAAAGTCGGTGAGCTTGATGTGGCCCTCGCGATCGAGAAGAATGTTCTCGGGCTTGAGGTCACGATAGATGATGTCGTGACGATGCAGGAAGTCCAGCGCCAGCATCACCTCCACGATGTAGAACCGCGCCACGTGCTCTGGGAAGCAGCCCGACCTGTGGCATTAATTACATCATAGACAGAGATGAGCCACCCAACGACCGTTTGACGAGCGAGAGACTGTGATGTGTGGTCGTGTCGTGTCATGTCGTGTCGTGTCGTGTCGTTGGTCGTGTCGTGTGCGTGTCGTGTCGTACCGTCTGAGGTGAACAAAGAGTTCGCCGCCCTCGACATACTCGAGACACATGTAAAGCTTCTCGTCCGTCTGGAACGCAGCGGCCAGCTTGACCACGAACGGGTGCTGCAGAGATGGCGAAGGAATGCGTATGACTGGGGTTAGGCAACGAAGAGAAGTATCGGGAATGTGGGGAATGTGTGTGCCTGGAGAGTCGAAAGAATGTTCTTCTCGGTGTTGGTGTGGGCGATCTGGTTGCGTTTGTAGACGTCCGACTTCTTCAAAATCTTGAGGGCGTACTTCTGCCCGTTGTCCAGCCTCTGTACCAGCAGCACCTGCACGCACCGCGGGCCCAGCCACACGTCAGCCAACCGTTCTTCCATACGCGCGTGTGTCATGTGTGTCATGTGTGTCGTGTGCGTCGTGTGTGGGTACCTTGCCGAAGCTGCCCTTGCCGAGGACCTTGAGAAGCTCGAAATCTTCGAGGGCGGTCCTCTTGTTGCCCTGCATGGACTGCTGGAGTTCCTTCTGCGCCTTCTCCTTCTCCTTCTCCATCTGGTACCCGTAGAGCTTGGACTCGAACGACAGCTGCCGCTCCTTCTTCGCCTTCTCCTCCTCGCCCTCGCCTTCACCCTCGCCCTCCTCCTCGCCCTCTTCATCCTCATTCTCCCAAAACGCAGCGTCACCCGCTGCACATTACAAGACGACACGACACACGACATACGACACACACGACACACACGCAACACACGACACACACATGATACGACACACGGTTGTGAGGAATTCCTGGTATGCTGGTAGGGAAGGAATGCCGAGCGAAGCGGAGGAATGTGGGGGGTACCGGTGCTGGTGGCGAGGAGGGAGAGGGGTCCGATGGGACTGCCGCAGGGCGACAGGGAGAGCATGTCCTTCTTGAACTTTTGCTCGTTGTTGTTGCTGCCCTGATGCTCGCCCCGATCCTCGTCCGTCGTCGCCGGCGCCGGCGCCACCCTGAACCCTCTCAAACGTAAGCAACACGCACGACACGCACGACACGCACACACACACACACCACACACACGAACCCGTTGGCGGAGTCGGCGGCGGTTGCGGCGGCGGACTTGACGTGGATTTGGCCCAGGCCGAGTCCCTTGAGGGCGTCGATGACGCGGCTGGCCTGCTCGGAGGTCTCGGCGTCGAAGGAGTAGTGGTGGAAGAAGGTGATGTTGAAGGACTTGGGGTTCGTCTCGCTCTGCGTGATCCGGTACACGTCCTCCGCCCGCACGAACCACTGGATCTGCTTCCCCTTCATGTTCGCCACGCCCGACGGACTCAACGCCAATATCCTGCCCAACACCACCAACAGAAGAACGAAGACAAAGAACGAAGACGACAAACACGAACACTCGCACGAGTCAGACAGGACGCCTCAAGGCCGCGCCCGCTCTCTTCCTAACGCTCGGTCACTCTCCCCTCAAGCCCCAAAGTGAAGGCCTTCGCTCTTTGTCGCGGGGGGGAGGGCTTCGATCTTTAAGAGATTGGTGCGGGGGGGGGGCGTAGTACCTCTTTTGACGTTTGCCGTATTGGTTGGTCTTGATGACTTTGAAGCAGATGAGGGCGCCCCCCTCGCCGTTCTTCTGCCGCTTGCGCTCCTCCTTGCCCAGGTCCTTGCCCTTCTTGCGGAGGCCCTTGCGGCCCGACTTCTGCTCCTTCTGCTCCTGCTTCTTCGATTTCGTGGATACGCGCACCTTCCAGTTCCGTCCGCCGTTGTCCGACGAGGCCTTGAGCTCCTCCATCAACGCCTCGCCCCCGCCCGGGGGCGTGTGGGTCCGCGACCTGCTGCTGCTGATCGGGTTGCTGCTCGGCGAATTCACCCCGGACGACGACGACGTGTCCACTTCATCTCCACTCGACGACTCCATCTCTTCTTCTCCTCTTTGTCTTCTTCCTTTTCTTCTTCGTTATTATTGTTTACTGTTTGGTCAGCGTGCCTCGTGCTGTTCGACGCGTGTGTTGTGCGACGAACAATAAAAAGAAAAAAAGAGGAAAAAAACACAATACTGCCCTCGAACGTTGGGTTGCTTCCTTGGGTGAGGGTGAGGGTGAGAGTGAGAGAAGACTTCAGTCTGGTCCGGCGAAGGAAGAAAACGAGACCGGTCAGTGGCGGGTAACGGGCGTGGTGCACTGTGCCCAGCAAGAATGGTGGCGTAGTAGGCCACCGACAGAAGACGATCGGCGATCGGGCAAATAACAAAAGACACCCAAATGAACGAGGGAAACTCGCGCGAACGGACACACTTCGAGCAAAGACCCAAACGGGGAGGGGAGGTGAGTGAGTCATCTCTCCGGCCCAGACCGGCTGGCACTTACTGTGACGCACGCCCTGTAACAGCGGACATTCCGCGTCGACGCCAGCGACATCTTGTTGCGGCCGCTTGCGGCTTCGGTGGACTGCGATTTAGTTGAGGTTGGAGGTGGCTGACACTTGATGTACATTGGTGGGAGGCAATTACACAACAGAACGTTGTTCTGTTCCAGATCGTGGGTGAAGCTTCACTCTTCTCCTTGGAGCATTCGACTCTATTTTCACCAACACGCCCGTAAAAAAATAAATATATAAAATATTAGTGCCCACCGATCGGTGACGCGATCACGCAACCCACCACAAGCACTGGGGGTAAAATGATGTGAGAAGCGAAAGAGAGAGGGGACGGAGGTGAACCTTGAAGGCGAGCAGGCGCGAAAAGAAGATGGAGGTCTGTAGGCGGAGCGGCTCCGAGGCGATTCGAGCAAGGAAGGACTCCAGGTCCGCATCGCCCAGATACAGGCACAACAGCGACAAGAACTGTGTGGTGCGGCCGTTCGGAGTTAAAATGATTGAGTCAATCACTCGGCGCGAGGGTAGTGAACGGGGGGGGGGTGGCGTACATCGGAGTACTGCCGCTTGGTCTGCACGAGGGCGAGGAGGTTGGCGAAGATGACGTCGAGCGAGGAGGGATCGCCGCTGGTCGGCTTGCCGTCCTTTTCGCCCTCCACGATCTGCTGGAGCTGCTTGATGTGGTGCAACACCAGGCTCGTTCTGCGCGTGAGTGAGTCGTGGTGGGAGCGGGTGAGAACTCAGCGTCAGCGTCGATCCATTCCACGTTCCAAACTCTCTGTCATTCCCGCCCCCAGCGTACCGCGTTTGATCGGATCCCTCGTCGTCATCGGGCTGCTCCTGTATCCGGAACCCACTCTTCACCCACTGCTCATACCTGCACACCGTTTATGATCGCCCAGTAGTTGGCTGTGGGCTTTTGGCGTTCAACATTCCACGCGAGCGAGGTGGGCGTACCGCTGGAAGGCGAGGGTCTCGCGGATCTTCTTGTGGACGGCGGAGAGCTGGTCGGCCGCCTTCTGCTTCTCGGGCACGAGCGGCTTGATGGCCGGACCCAAGGCTGCATCGAGCAGGTTCAGTGTGTTCTCCTGACGAATTGGAAAGGCGCGGGCGCGAACGTCAGCGTACGTTGGCACTACCATGAACGGCGATCATCAAAAAAATGAAGGCACGGGCGCGCACCTGGAAGCGCCGTCGCAGCCAGGCTTCGCCGACGTCGAGGGCAAGGCCCTTCTTGAGAAGCTTGATGAGCTTCTCGTTGTAGGTAGCCACCGCCGAAGGTCCGGCCAATGACTGACGCGAGTACGAATCCAACTTGCTCGCAAACAGCCGCAGACTGTAGGCACAGTGTCGTGTTACACTCCTATACGCGCGCGCGTTGTGCAGCATGCTTGCGCAGTGAGAAACGGCAAGGGTTAAGTACCCCGAGGTGGACTTCTCGCTCATGGAGCTGACGACCTGGCCGGTGATGAGCTGCTCGACCTTGGGCGAGCGAATGACGACCTTGCCGCTCTCGAGATCGGCCAGCACGTCCCAATCGCACTTCTCCTTGAAGTACGGGTTCGTCGTACCCGCAATGAACCCGTCCCTGCGGTCGCCACACACACACACACATGCACACATATGGACGAGTTAACGAATACCAATCGCTCGCCACGACGATGGTTGAAGAAGGTGCGAGTGCGCTGCGTACACATCCTGGAAGATAACGTCGGTCAAGCTGACGTAGGGGAAGGCCCGCTCCATCAAAATGCCCGACAGGGGCGGACACACGAGCCCCACGATCGACAGCACCGACCTGTCGACCCCGAGGGAGGTGGTGGGTCAGGCGGGCGATGATCGCACACGCGGTCGTCACAGGGGTAAGGGTGAACGACGGGGGAACGCACTGGCAGATATCCGAGGTGGAGACGTTGTGTCCCATGACCAGCAGACGGTAGCCCATGAGCACGGTCATGTAGAGATAGACAACGCCCTTGGCCTTGAACTTGCGCAACAAGTCGCGGACCGAAATCTGTTCAACGTCGTACACGATGGCGACGGTGAGCGCATGCGTTTGGGTCAGGTGTGTGGTGAGACTTTCAGGAAGTCGCACCTCGTCGAACTGGTCCTTGGAGTGGTGGAGCGGAACGCGCAGAGGTTCTTCGAATATGAACTGCTGGCCGTGCTCCAGCGCGACTTGTCCCGACGCTGACTCGGCGCTGCTCGGCACGAAAAAGGAATAGAGCGGTCGGCTGCTGTATTGCGCGAAGCTCTGCGTGTTACTGATGATGGTCTGCCACAGCCACAGCCACAGTCACCACAACTGCTTTTCAGTCGCCCAGCAAGAGAACGAAACATGGGTAGCAATGGGGCACCTTCTGACGGGAGAGGTCAGTGTTGTTGATCGAGGAGTAGAGGCATTGTAGTACACCGACGTCCTCCTCGTGAAAGTACTCCTGAAGGGCGCGGAACAGAAGGGGCTGCCATCATCACAAAGGGAGAAAAGGGACGCCACAGGTCAGACTTTCAGCTGGGCCGTGGGAATCCAGTCCAGCCCGCGCGGCATTGCAAAGAAAGAATGAATGAATGAATGAAGGAGGAACCCGAAACACGTTGACGAACGGAAGCCGCGAGCAGATGGCGATCGACCGAATGGTGGCACCGCGCCGCACAGTTTCGTCCTAGGTCGTAGTGGGCAGGACAACAGTCCGTGTGAGCCGTGCTGCGAGCGGGGAGGGGCGGGCAGGAGGGAGCGATTGTGTAGTACCTTACGGCAGTGGATGAGGGTGAGGCAATAGAGCGGCTTCTCGTCATCGCGTTCGTTTTTGTTGTTGACCCCCATCTTGCCCACCTCTTTCATCTGTTTGGCCCGTCCGCGCTCCTCATTGCTGTATGTGATGGGAACATGCCGTAAGAAACCCTCCAAACGTCAGCCCAGCCCGCGCGGGCTCGCTGTAGGGCAGCGTACCCGATCACTTCCCACGACTCCATGTCATCTGCCGAAGCTCGGTTCTGTGTGCACGTCAGTTGCATGTGGTGAGCATCATCATCATGCACTGTGCAGGACACAACTCGAGACCAGAAGGTTGATGTACGCTGTAGTGGACCTCTCTGTTCAGGAAGAAGAGCGTCCAGTCCCATTCCTGTCACACAACAAAAGTTCATTGTTAAATATAAAATAGAATACATAAAAAATGAAAACGAACTGGATTGGGAGTTGGGACCTGGTTCTGTGCACCATCGGGCAGCATGCGGTCTGCCAAAAAGCTTGAGAAGGAATTGGAGAGAGATTAGGATCCAACGTTGCATTATTAAAAGGTAAATGTAACATTGATGCAGCGGTGTACTCGTCGGCATAGTTTGGTATGGGTCCGGGTATTTGGTGCTTGAGAGTGCTGCCCTTGTCGATGTCAAACTCGGCCAGCAGTATGTGCTCTATGTTGCGCCCGCTCATCTCCGCCATCCTTTCCATCTTGTCAAATATGTTTTTTTGCAATTTTAATATCCCATTTTTTATTTGCCATAGTGGACTATTTCCAGACACGTGTAATGACGTTAAAATTATAATAAATAAGCAAATGATCAAATCAAATTGAAGGTTTCGATAGTGAAGGGGGCGAACAAGATGTTCTCGTCACAAAGCCCTGCCCGCCGGACGATCACGCCCAAGGATGTGGAGGATGCGGTGACCCTCCAGGTGCGCTACGTGAAGGCCACGACGCAGGACAAATCCCGGGTCACGGCCGTACGCAAGATGCGATTCGACCGGTCGTGGACCATCAGGAAGGGCCTCACCATGATGGCCACCGAGGGTCGCATGCCCCACATGGAGGGCAAGTACCTCTACCAGCCCAACGCCGTCGATCGCAAGGTCTTCGGCACCTGGCTCCAGCCCGACAAGACCTTTGCCGACTACAACATCAAAGACATGGTACTGTATTACTTTTCCACTTATTATTCTTATTTACTATATTTACTATTATTATTACTATTACATTTTAATACTCGCCTAATACTTGTTATCTTTATTTTATTGTAAATTATTGCTGGGCAGGACGAGGTGGAGGTGAAGCACAAGCCGCAGCTGGTGACGTTCGGGGTGTGGTCGTCGCTGACGGACGTGGCCCACTGCCCGTGGCTCCTGCCGCCGGCCTTCTCCGAGACCAAGATCGACCCGACCGTCAGCGTCGAGCTCGACTTCCGCGAGCCGCTGCGCGACATCGTGCCCTTCCTGCCCGACCTCTTCGGTGGCGGCGTCATCAAGCGAGGCGAGGAATACATCTTCCAGCACCTCTGGACCGAAGCCGGCCAGTCTCGCCGTACCACGATACCCACGACACACGACACACAGCATGCAACACGCATACGCATACGCATACACGACACGACACGACACGACACGACACGACACGACACGACACGACACGACACGACACGACACGACACGACACGACACGACACGACACGACACGACACACTCACCCTCGCGTGCAGGTAAGTGGCTGAATGCGGGAGCATCGCTGGAGGAGCAGGACATTATCCCGGGCAGCATCCTGGTGCTCACTCCCCTGGGACCCTTCCTCAAGGTGCCAGCACCACAACTCCCGCGCTCGCATGCGATGCACTGTGTATGCCGTGTGTCGTGTGTGTCGTGCGTGTCGTGAATGTCGTGTGTGTCGTGTGTGTCGTGTGTCGGCGTCGTGCGTCTGCTCACGCGAGGTCACACGACTGCATACAGAGGCCACTCACTTCGATCAAGAATCCGGAGAAGAGCGGATTCCTCATGAAGCAATCGATCAAGGAGCCCGGCGGCTTCCTGGTCGACGCCAAGACGGCCTTCACCGGCGAGTCGGGCGCGAGCAAGAAGACGGGCACCAAGAAGCGGTGGTTCGTCGTCGAAGACAACCTGCTGTACTACTACGCTTCCAAGACTGTACGCCAGTCCTTCTTCTCTCCGCCCCGCAAGGCGTAGCGCCACCTTAACTCACTGGCTGTGACGAGCAGGCAAGCACGCCCAGCGGAGTGATACCGCTGGACTACTGTTCCATCTCCGAGCTCCAAAGCCCGACCGCTGACAAGTATCAGTTCGAGCTCATCGGCAACATCGAGTGCTTCAGCAACAAGGTTCCGTACGCTTGCCGTGTGACGGTCGTGTTCGTCGCGCCCTAGGGCCTAACGCTGCTGACACGATACCAGGTGGCGCGTTATCTCATTTTCGACGACAACGAGGCCCAGGTCCGAGAGTGGATGAAGATCGTGCGTTACAAGTGCGCCAATTGCTGTACGCCATCACCCTCCACTTTCTCTCGCTCTCTCGCTCTCCATTTTTTGACACATGGGCGGGTGTAGCGGACAAGCGCGTGTTCGAGGTGTCGATTACCAAAACGATGAAGCACACCAAGGGCGACATCCCCAACATCATCAAGAAGACCGTCAAGTACATCGAGGAGCGAGGTACACGCCAGTCCCCCACCACCACCACCACCACCACCACCACCACCACCACCACCACCACCACCACCACCACCACCACCACCACCGTCCACCACCGTCCACCACCGTCCACCACCGTCCACCACCACCACCACGTTCGGTCGACAGCGGACCAACCAACGGGATGGCGCAGGAATGGACGTGGAGGGTATCTTCCGTAAGTCGGGCGGCATGATCTCGGTGCAGAAGTATCGCGATCTGTACGATAACGGGGAGGACCCCGACCTCAGCGAGTGCGTGGACCCGCACACCGTGTCGGGCCTCCTCAAGCTCTACCTCCGCAGCTTGCCCGAACCCCTCATCACCTACGACCTCTACGGTACTGGCTCCCCCCCCCTGCTCACATTCCTCGACTTCGGGTCTGACGAATTCATTGCCTGGTCTGCAGACAAGTTTAAGGAGGCGAGTGAGCTCGGCAATGCGGTGGAGAGCGCCGCGCGGATGCGTGCCCTGGTCAACTCGCTGCCGCAGGACAACCAGGTGGTGCTCGAGTACCTCATCGACTTCATCGGCCGCGTGGCGCAGCACTCGGCCACCAATTTCATGCACATCCAGAACCTGGCGACCGTGTTCGGACCCAACCTGCTGCGGCCGAAGGACGCGTCGGCCATCGAGATGATGGGCCACACCAGCACCATCTGCGCCATCGTCGAGCTTCTCATCGGCCGGCGAGAGGAAATCTTTGCGGTACGTGTGCCGTGTCGTGTCGTTGGTCGTGTCGTTGGTCGTGTTGCGTTACTCAACGTGTTGGCGCACACAGGACGTTAAGTCGGAACGTGCGGCGCGAGTGCGAGCAGCGACGGAGACGCCAGACCACCCCGAGGGACTTCATGCCGCGTCAGATCTGACCGAGAGGAAGATCCGAGACTGTACGTGGCGCCCGGGGCACTCATACGCGTCACACACACACACACACACACACAAGAGGGATGCACAGCTAACCCTCGTGTGTCGTGGGTATGCAGTCACCAAGGCGGACAACCCGGTGCTGGCCGCCCAGGAGGAGCTCCACGCGCTGGGGCTGCGGCTGGACGAGCTGGGCAAGCGGATGCACGATGAGAAGGTCGCGCTCGACCGCCTCGCCGACCTGACTTCTCGGTTCATGCGGTAGTACGTTCCGCCCCCACTGACAATGCAGGCGCCTCCTCATCTATTGTTTTACCACCCAATGCGTGTATTTTTTGGGCTTATGTCGCATAAAAGCTCTTGCTAAAAGAAAGGTGATGATGCTAGTCGTATGTAGGGAGTGATTTGGGTTGACCTCGTGGGTGGGGGTGATCAAGATGAAGAGCGCTGTGACTTGTGGATACGGCCATACTGCGCAGAAAGCACCGCTTCCCATCCGAACAGCGAAGTTAAGCTGCGCCAGGCGGTGTTAGTACTGGGGTGGGCGACCACCCGGGAATCCACCGTGCCGTATCCTTTTTACTCCACCTCTCTCTACTGAGTGCTTGTCATCTCTCCCTTTGCCCCCAAGCGCACCCATTTGTCGACAAAGGCTCTGCTGACGTCACCAAAGAGATAAACTGTTTTTTATTTATTTTCGCACCAGGAAGCAGGGAGCCACACTCGATTGCTGCGGCAGATTTGCTTGAATTGAGCTATGTTGACCCTCAGCGATACGCAGAAGGTGGGGCTGGTGATGACGAGCTTTGGGGCGTTCTGCACTGCCTTCGGCATCCTTCTGATGATGGACCGCGGCCTCCTTGCCCTGGGCAACGTGTGCACCCACCCTCTTGTACTCCTCGTGCTCTCCCCCCCACCACATCAGTAACCTGCAACATACCCCCCGTGCAGATACTGTTCGTGACAGGGTCGGTGCTGCTTGTGGGTACCTTTACACGACACTCCACACAACGCACGCAGGTACACCAGCGCCGCGGTTCACGCTCTCACCCTTGTCGCGTGCTGCGGTGCCTCTAGGCTTGGACAGGGCGTCTTCGTTCTTCCTCGAGCAGAGTCGGCTGAAGGGCAGCGTGTGCTTTTTCGGCGGGATCGTGTTCGTGCTCATCAAGTGGCCCATCCTCGGCCTTCTCGTCGAGGTGTTTGGCTTCGTTAATCTTTTCGGGTAGAGTAGAGCAATGTCCCCCCCCCCAAAGCGTGCCTGTGTGTCATGTTTGTCCACTTATGCCCGCAGGCCAACTACTGACTTGAGTGGTGGATTGTGTCGTGCTACTTGGTTATCCGATACAGCAACTCCTTCCCATGGCTGCTGATGATCCTGAGGAACGTACCGGTTCTCGGCACCTTGCTCTCACTCCCCGTGATATCCCCCGTACGTGACCTCCTCCCCTCTGTGTCGAGCCTTTGATCTCACCTCAGCGTGTGCGCCACTGCCCTTGTGGCTTGCCGACAGTTCCTGGATTGGGTCAGTGGCGTTGTTGCAAGCGACAGCAGCAATAAAGCCGAGTGAGGATCACACTGCACAACCCGCGTACCGCCCGACGTGTGGCGTGCCACACGATTAAGGATCGCACGTGAGCCCATAACGGGGTAGTACTCACACTGCATCACGGCGAGTGATGGGCGAGCGCGGACAGCCGGGACACCTCATAGCTGTACTTCGAGACTGCATCGTGCAGGACGAAGATGAGGGCTAATGAAATGACTGTCAGATTGCCAGCCCAGCAAAACGGTATTATTCCCACGTGGCGGGCATAGGCGGTCGCGATCTTTGTGAAAGAAACAAAATCCGGCACCTGCCAGCTGGTTCCAGGGCGTTACGCGTTGGTTTGGGTAGGGCGAGCCTCGACCAGGTTGAGCTGCTGTTGCGGGGCGAGCACTTGCGCCAGCTCCAGCCCGGCCGACTGCAGCAGCTGCCGGTACTCTTCCTCCGTGCGCTCTTTGGCTCCGAGTGCCACCATCATGTCTGTTCCAAGTCCGTCGCTGTCCGTAAGAAGGGGAACCAAGTTGCGTGCGCGCGTGTGTGTGCGGTGGTGTGCGCGGGTGTGGGCGCGTGTGGGCGGGAGAAGCGGGACTTACGGAGCGCTGGACGTCGAGGTCATAAGCCTTGGCCAAGGAGGGTCCTCTGGTGACCCATGGCCCTGTGGGCGGCCCGCAAGATGGGTCGTGCCTGTTGATCGTCGCTTGTTAACTCTACCTTGCGCCCTCGCTTTTTGTGAACGCCGAGGCCAAGGCTGCTGTGCACCTCATCGTCGGCCCAATCGTGAATGATCGCTTTCAGTAGGTAGAGGTCGACCCCTGTCGGGACGTTGGTCTCCGCCTCAGCAGCCAGGAAGCTGCCTGCATGCAGTTCCACTCTGTCCTTGAGGTCATCGGCCACCACGACAAGTAATACTAGGTCGTAATACCTCCCCCAACCTGTGCAGGTTCGAGCAGGTGCAAGTACCAGACACCAATTGCATGATTTTGTCCGCCGTGTAGTAGATGGTGGTTTTCCTGTAAAGTGAAACTTGTGGCACAGTGCATTTAAGAGGGTCCAATCACGCACAAGTGGAAAGAGGGTCCCCACGTGGCACAAGGAGGAACACCCGTATGTAACGGCACGACGAATGTACAAACAAACTTGCCCACTAAGCTCGGCCGCGCTAGTAACTTCTTCTCTTCAGCCCTCCTCTCCGATGCCACTAGTCCCCTCCTCCTCTTCCAGCTTCCTCCTCAATGGAGCTGGTCTTCGCTGCATGAAGAGCTGCATGCAAGGCGGAAGCTGCCAGGCATCAACGAGTCTCGCCTTGTTCGAGATGTCGTTGCCATTGCCTCCTCTCTGCTTCTGGCACTTTTGGGAGACCTGCCCACACCACATGTATCGCAAGTTGTGCCCGCGACGCGAGGGCGTGGGCCGCCTACTGCGATCAAGAAGTGGTGGACTCTGACCTTTTTGTTTGTCTGAGCAGATTGAGGAAGTGGAGGCCAAGCGGTTGTTGGCCTCAGATGAAGATGACGATCAAAAAGAAAAACGGCGGTGGATTCCCGTGTACGATTGAACAATCGTTTATTTGGTTGGTGTAGGTTGGTTGTATGCACAGATGCCTCTGCCCTCAGAGCGAGTGGTGTAGATGGTGGAGAGGTTAAATTTACACGCTGGCTTCCCGTACGGGGTAGAAGTAGGGGTGGTTCATGGCCTCCTTGGCCGTGAGACGCGTCTGGTGGTCGTAGCGCAGCAGCTTGTCCAGGAAGTCGATGGCCTCCGGCACCGCCAGGTGCTTGTTCTCGTTCGTGACAAACTTCTTCCACGGTTTCCGCGAATGCCTGTTGTGAATGGGTGTCGTGTGTTAAGCACAGGCGAAGCGGCAGCACGGGCTACAAGCGGACGACGTACCTTCCAATCATCGATTGGAAATGGGGGTCGAGCACGATGGTGTACTTGTCCAAGTAGGCGTAGAGCCCCTCCGTGCCCAGCACCTTGGCGATCTTGACCAGCTGATCCTGGTTGTCGTGTCCATGGAAGAACGGTTCCTTGCGGAAGATCTGGAAGAAGCGAAGATCATCAGAGTCTTGCGCGAGCATGAACGAACACAAACGGAGTTGTACCATGCCAGCAAACATGCAGCCTAAGCTCCACATGTCGAGGCTGTAGTCGTAGTCCTGGAGGTCGACGAGCAGTTCGGGTCCCTTGAAGTAGCGCGAGGCGACGCGCACGTTGTACTCTTGCTCCGGATGGTAGAACTCGGCCAGACCCCAGTCGATGAGCCGCAGCTTCCGCTTGGAGTGGTCGATCATCACGTTGTGTGGCTTCACGTCCCGGTGCATGATGCCGTTCGAGTGGGCGTAGTCCAAAGCCTGCGCCCACACCACGCACGCACGCACGCACGCGCATAGCACCGCTTAGTTGTGCCGGCCGAGGAGAGAAGCGGGGGAATGCAAGGAGGAGTGTCTACCTTGAGAAGTTCGTAGAGGTAATAACGCACGTCGTAGTCGCTGAGCGTGGGGTACAGGATCTTGAAGTCAGTGTTGTTGACGAATTCGAAGATGAGGCTGGGCGTCTTGGAATGCGGGTCGCGCACGACGTCCATGAGTTTGATGATGTTGGGGCCACCGCACAGATTCTGGAGGATCTTGATCTCGCGCCTGATCTTCTTCTTTTTCACTGGTTTGAGGATTTTCACGATGCACTTCTCTGACGTGACCGAATTGAGGCCTTCGAACACCTCGCTGTACTTGCCCCTTCCCACCTTTCGTATCACCTCGTAGTCATCCTGGTCACTGCGTGCCGTTTGTTAGCCTCCAGGCGAATTGCAGCGAGTAATGTTGATTGCCGGGGGGGGGGGCAAAACAAAAAGACATACCCCCACTGCACATTGAGGGCTTCGTAATTCCAGTACTCCCTGGGCCTGTGCTGATTCACGTCGGCATACACCCTGGCCCTACTCTTGACCGTTCGATTACGATTCCTGTGTCTGGCCGAATTAGTGGCCGGCAGCTTCCACATCTCTGCCTGGTTATGGGTGGTCCTCGCGATTGACCCGCTGACCGCTGTACGAATCGTTAGCTGAGTCCTCTTCGTCGTTGATTTGCTCTCGCAGGGCACCTTTGCGGTTATGGCACGCAACTGTTGATCTTCAGGACCGTCCGGAGTGCTCTCGGTCGTTTTCCGATTTCAGTCGACCAACCGAATTTCAACGCCGGATAATTAACCCAGGAAATCAAGGAAACTCATTTTCCTTCCATCTTCTCGTTGACACGTTGCGCTGAGGCTGGTTGTGTGGCGGTATGCTGTTCAAGCTGCAGATTCTGAGCCTGTCTCTAGAACCTGGCATCCCATTTAAAGCCAAGGATGAGCGACCCCGCAACATCTTTCTGGACCTGTGGAGCCAAGGCCAACCGAAACGGTATTTATTTCCCTTTAATCGCATTAATGTGCATCGTTCATCATTTCATGAGTGTCAAGTCACCGCGTTTATGCGGATATATTTGTTATAGATAATAATATTGAATGCACAAATGAAATCTGTGTGCCAGGCGGTACTTCCTAGGTAGGTTTGGGAGCTCGAAGCAGAAGCGCTACGCATCGGTGGTGCACTTCACCTCCACTCCGGTGACGCTGCAGCTTTCGTTCGGCGTCGGTGGTGTGGCACTGCTCTACAACAACCTCGGTCGGCACACACTGTTCGAGTTCCTCGATGACCCGCACTCCTCCAAAACCGAAAGGCGACAGGTTAGAAGCGCGCGCGCGTGTATGTGCTGTGTGATGTGTGTGATGTATGTTCGATGTGTGTTGTGAGTTGTCGTGCAACATTTGATTGATGAACAACGGTCAGTTTCTGCCTTTTGGCCGAGGCGGGCCAGTGTACCACCTGGAGTACATCCTCAAGCCGGTGACCTGCGCCTACGGGTTCGTCCTCAACGAGATCTCATGCCTCAGCCAGGTCTCTTCAAAACTGCGCAAGGATCCCCTCGACGTCGAGGTGCGGTGCCAGTCTTCCCTATGCACAGGGCCAGCGAGTCTCACCGTGTTGGCGCGCGCGCGCGCATGTGTGTGTGTGTGGTGCCATGCAGGTAGAATTCAACAACTCGAGGCACAGCATCCTACCGGGCGTGATGAACCGATACAGCATGGGCACCTTCTCTTCGAACGAAGTTAGCACTATCCACTCTGTCAATAACTATATCCTCACCCAACCCCTCTTTCATTTATTTATTTGTTCACTTTCACTCGCTGCTGCTGCTTCTGCTGCTCAACTGTGTTCATTTCCTTAACGCATAACACGTTCCTTCGCTTCGCTGAGCAACTTCGTGGTGACGTTCTACGTGCGCGGGTGGCTGTCGGACCACATCCTGGGCACCATCAAACTCCTTCCGCTCGACGAGGTCCTGCAAAACGATCCGGCCAAGGTGCTGCGCCTTCTCGATCACCAGCAGCTCGCACACGGCAGCAGCGGCGTCGCCGCGCCCAGAGCCCCCACGCGGACCAAGGTGGACGAGATCATGGGAGACAACTGCGAAGCCGACGAGCAGGTCAAAGACGACTATGCCCGGCTGGAGGAGCTCGCAGGCAAGGGCGGGCTGCTGTTCTCCTTCATGGACCACCCGGAAGACCCCGAGGAGATGGAAGAGGAACTCCTCCTTATTGGCGGTACGCCTTGCACAGTTGGAGAAGTCTTTTATTTTCTGCTTCTTCTGACCCGCCGTGCGTTGACTCTTGACAGACGACGAAACGCTGACCACGAAGACGCTCAACTTGAGCTCGCCCGAGGGCGGCTCGTACGTGATCGTGCTCAGCTTGACGAAGGAGAAAGAGGGCATGGCCGGCGATCACGTCGTGCCGGCCCACCTATGGAACTTCGTGAGTCGGCGGGACTACTACCTGCTGCGAGGCAACGAACCCGAGCCGGACGCCATTCATCACCACCGCTCCGACGAAGCGGCCGACAGCGATAACAACAGCACACGCGGAACGGACGCGATGGTGGTGCAGGGGAAGAGGATTGGCGCCAAGGACATCGAAGGTGACATGGTGACCAGCGACAGCTTCAGCAACTGGACCCAGGGCAACGATGTCGACGTGCTCATCGACGGTTTGGAGACGTTCGAACGCATGTTCGAGGTGCCCCTCCACCCACTCTTACGCATTTTGTTACGGCTCATTTATTTATTTATTTATTTATTTATTAATTACTAATGAGTTGACTGCTTTCCTGTTGGTGTTGTGCAGTGCATGATGCTTGCGCAACACTCGATCAGCATATTGGCGTGGGAGGTGTCACTTTCGTTCGGCCTCATACTGGTGCAGCGGGCCAAGATTCCCATCCCGCCACTCACACCTCCCTCAGCCAAGTGGGTGAGCCTCGAGGTACATACGCCTGATGACGTGGTGTCCGTTTACTTTTGCACCTTTGTTCATTTGTTTTTATTGTTGAGTGCAGGACGTCCTGCTATCGCGAGCACTCTCCGGCGTGCGAGTGCGCATCATCGTGTGGCGGCACGAGCTTGTATCACACATCAACCGGATGCTGTACATGGGCGAGTGGTCGATCGACAGCGAAGTGGCCAAGCTACAGAGCCGCTGCCAGAAGCACGGCCTCGTGTG